AAAAAACATTTAAAGCTATTTTAATTTGTTTTATAAAAACTAACAGATGTAATAACAAGCTTAATTGGGTGTAAGAGGCAACATTAGTCACACTAAGAAGATTTCGGTTAGCATAAAAGTAATGTTTAAATTTCTCACTAATCAATCAATCAATCAATCAATCAATCAATCAATCAATCAATCAATCAATCAATCAATCAATCAATCAATCAATCAATCGGTCGGTCGGTCGGTCGGTCGGTCAGTCAGTCAGTCAGTCAGTCAGTCAATCAATAAATCAACCAATTAACTTGTAAGACGCGATTTCCGCGATGCTCAACAGCGCTCTCTAGTGAATTTAATAAACCAGATGGGTCTTGAGATCCGCTCTAAATTTCGTAATTGATGGAGAAGTAGTTACAGGAGATAGAGACTTACAGAGGAAAAGGTCAAAAAAAGAAAACGCAGATTTAGCATAACAGTGTTTAACACGAGCTAAGAAAAAATAAGAATAAGAAGACGATAGTGAACTGGAGCGTTTAAGTTCAATTAATAAATCGGTTAAGGATTTAGGAAATAATTTGGATTGAGACTTGTACATTGATTTGCAGATTTTAAAAATTATTCTATATTTTAAATGTAGCCAGTGCAAGAGAACAAGATAAGGATATATGTGATAAAAGATAGGGGCACGAGCAACTACACAAACAAGCAGAGTTAAAAGCTTCACTTATAAGATAGTCAGATTTCAGGAAGACCATAGTAAAGCGAGTTATAAAAATCAATCCAAGAAAAAACTAATGATGAAGCAAGTAGGAGAAGAAAAGATCGTCAAGAAATGACAAAAGTTGTTTTATTCCACGTAGATGGAAGTAAGAGCATTTAACAACATTATTGAAGTATTAATCTGAGAAGAGACATGCTAGAATCAAAGATAAAGCCTAAACTACAAAACTTATGAAAAACATTGAGAGTTTTAAAATCAGATAACATAATAGAAGGAGAAGTAATAGAGTGTTTAGATTTATTAAAATATATTGATTCAAACTTAGAAGGATTTAGCTTGAAAGATAGTCACACATCACTTTAGAGGAGCTTACAGAAGCTCTGAAAGCTATGAAGGATGGAAAGGCAGCAGGGCCCTCGGGACTCACAAATGACATTATCAAAGCATCTGGTACTGCAGGTATCCAAACATTACTACAACTTTGCCGTGAAATCTGGAGAAATTGCTCAATGCCGACTGAATGGAACTATAGCATGACAGTCCCGCTATACAAAGGCAAAGGTGATCCATTGAACTGTTCATCATATCGGGGTATACGTCTGTTAGAACACTCCTTGAAAATTGTCGAAAAAATCATCATTAACGTCGTGCATCACAATCTGAAATTATCAATTTGGTTTTCTAGTGGGGAAATCAACCATTGATGCAATTCACATCCTTCGGCAACTGCAAGAGAAGTACTTCGCAAAGCATCAACAACTATCACACATTTTTGTAGACCTTGAAAAAGCATTTGATCGAGTTCCCCGTGAAGCAATCAGATGGAGTCTACGTCGACAATTCATTCCAGAATATCTTGTTCGACTTGTGATGGAAATGTATACGAATACTAAGACTTTTGTCAGCACAACGGTTGGAAACACAGATGCATTTGACATCGGCGTTGGAGTTCACCAAGGCTCGATTCTCAGTCCACTGTTATTTATAACTGTGATGGAAGAAATCACAAAACCGATACGCACTGGTGACATTTGGAATCTAGTATATGCTGATGATATCGTTTTAACAGCCACGTCTGAGCAGAATGCAGCACAGATGTTTGAAGATTGGAACACCAGACTCACCGATCATGGATTCAAAGTCAACATCAGCAAAACCAAAGCAATGAACACTGGTGAACCCATCCAATCCACAGCTACTGGACGATGGCCCTGTTCAGTTTGTAAAGCTGGTGTAGGTAACAATTCAATCAAGTGTTAGCAGTGTAACCAGTGGTTTCACAAACGTTGTTCAAAAATAATTGGTACTTTATCTAAAGTGTCCAATTTTGTTTGTCCTGCTTGCATCAATCCACAACAACAAATTCGAAATAGCACTGTTTTTGAAGCTATTAAAATAGAGAAAGTCACATCGTTTCAATATCTAGGGGATGTTCTGGATTGTACTGGAACAGCTGAAGCTGCCGTTCGAGCACGCATACGTGCAGCCTGGAATAAATGGCATCTCCTTGCCTCTATATTGATGCGGCGTGACATCCCACTACCACTACGATCAAGACTTTATAAATCTGTGATACGTCCGGTGTTGTTATATGGTGCAGAAACATGGCCAATGACAACCAAACTGGAACAACAACTTCAACGAACCGACATGAAAATGCTTCGATGGATGCAACGAATTAGTCTAAAGGACCACATCAAATCTACAGAAATCCTGCGTCGTGCTGGTTTAGATGATATAAAGGACGAATGCCGGCAACACCGTCTGCGGTGGTTTGGTCATGTCAAACGAAGTGGAAACAGTGCCATAACTTCTCTTGCAGATGTTGAAGTACCTGGCACACGTCCCAAAGGCCGTCCAAAGAAGTCCTGGTCGCAAACAATCGAGCAAGACATGAAAGCTCTAAATTTAAATGAAATGGATACAACTGATCGTCTAATTTGGCGCAAAAAGTTGATGGCAAAGAAAACAACGTCCTACCTCGGGAAACCGGGTCTCTGGAAGCAAAACGAAGATTGATTGACAGTTTGAAATAATTTAAAAAGTTAACAAGACATAGAGGCAGAGAGAACTACTTATTCAATAGTCGCAAAAACTTGGAACACATTACCAAATGAACATGTTGAGACACAATCAATGAAAAAATTTAAAGCAGGCATTGATTTTTGGATGAACAACAATCAATCAACAAATCATGCCAGACAGCATGCTCTCTGGATAACCTCCAGAACAGTATTACTATTACTACTACTACTACTTCATTCCTGCTTCAATCATCAGTTCTCATAGCTTTGACTTTTCCTAAAGCAATTTTAATACAATCAGGCCGTTCGACATGGTCTGGAATGAAGGGTTGTAGTAGAAAATGAAAAGTATTAGATTATCAATAAAAAAAAAACAATTTCAATAACATTTTATATTTCATTCAAAACATTTAATTGGGAAAATGTATATAATTTCTTTTAGAGATATTAAAAAAACGACAAAATCAACGTATAATTCCAACATTTTCAAAGGTTTGATAAAATAAACAAAATTATTATTGGGTATTAAAAATTACATAATACAAACTTGTTGTCAACTCCAAAAATCCCTTTTTATCGCCGACATTTCTATCATCACTCATAACTTTTTCCCCCTTTTCTTGACTATGTTGTCTATTAGCGTATTCTAACCTGGTCCTATTGAACAACAATTCTTCCATACAATTGTAAGCCAATGGTTCAAATTCGTAGTCAAATTTATTAGCAAATAACTCATCTCTGGAAGCAAGAAGTGGAAGGTCACCTACGCCAAAGTTGCAAATTTGGCGAACCCATTTACCTTTACATGGCCAAGCAAATGGTGGATACCCCCAGTTTTTAAATCGAGCGATGAAGCGGTTGTTAACAGGATCTGTTTCAGGACTAGACCCTGGAAAATTGAAGTGGACAGTAGAAAATAGACTAAACTATTAAAAACGAGTGAGGTGTTCAGATTAATACAACTTTCTTGTGGTAGAAAATGGTGTATGTAATGTACTCGTATCTGCTCGTAAATGAGTGAGAATTTTAAGTACTTGTAAAATTTTCACCTTTATACATACTACGTAAATGTGGGTGCAAGTTAACACATCATTTCACTTATTCGACAAAAATATGTTTTTGTAAATTTCGTCCAGTAAAGGACAAAACGAGTCTGGTCTAAAAAAAACTATTAAACACGCGTCTTTGAGTTTCGGACAGACAGTATTCGAACCAAGCCATTATGAGATTCATCAGTAGCCCGAGTTTAAACAACACAGTTCAAAAAACATCTTAGCTTGCAATGTTGTCTACTAAGATAATAATTGCACTAAGTTGGTGTTTAAACTCGGGATACTGATGAGTCCCATAAGGGACGAAACGCGTCTAGTCTAAAACGAGTTGGGTGTCCACAGAAACGCACCTTTGGTCGTGGTGAGAGATGGTGTACTTTATGTACTCGTACTGGCCAACTTTTGTACTGACTCGTATTGATTTCTTATATATATTATATATATATATATATAAATATACCGTACTTGCGAGAGCCTATATATATATACCGTACTTGCGAGAGTCCATATATAAATATAAAGATAAATAAACAAATATATATATATATATATATATATATATATATATATATATATATATCATATACATATATCAATCCATCATCCGAACAAATTGCATCCCTTGATGTCGAATCCCTATTTACAAATGTTTCTGTTAAAGATACTATCAATATTATAACTAAAACAGTTTATAATTCACAATATTCACCATTAAAAATTCTTACTAGTAAATTAAAAATTCTCACTAGTCCTCTTGACGACTGCTCGCGTCTTCAAACTTCCTATATAGGGGTGACTACTACAACACTATCGCGTAGACTTACTATGCACAAAGGAGAGGGTGCAATAAAAAACCATCTTGAAACTTTCCACAACACCTCAATAACTAAGAACCTTCTAGATAATAACACAAAAATTCTATACAACAATCAACAGCACTACAACCTAAGAATTGCAGAAGCTATTATCATCGAATCTGAAAAACCTTCCATCAGCATTCAACAACGAATCCCAACAACACTTCCAACTCGAAGTAAGAACAACAATAACGTTAATCGGATCAACCAGCAATCTAACATTGATGATAATAACAATAACGATAATAATAATAACACTATCAACAACAAAAGCAACAACAACAACAAAAACAACAAATTGTTGCATCAATTAGCCATCCATTTTTTAAGATCAGGTGGATGCCACCTTCAGTTCCCCAGCAGGCCGAAGATTTCTGGCGGAAGTAAACCGAATCAATAGCCTCACAACTTTTAGGGAGGATAAAAAGTCCACATCGTGCACAAGTCGAGATTTTGATTTTTATGGTTTCCATGAACTTAGTCCTGAATAAGGTTTAAACCATAAAGTAGAAGGGCTACAATATCTCAATATCTAAGTGCGGTTAACATATCAACTAATCTCAATGTTTGTATTATAAAATATAAGCGGTTTAGTTATAAAATATATATATTACATTTCAATTTTGAATAAAATTTATGTCTTTATTATATACTCAAGTGTCTACAGTACTTAATACTTATACTTAAGTACATTTTTAACTGAGTGCTTGGTACTTATACTTAAGTACATTTTTTGAGTACTTACATCAACACTATAAATAATTATTTAAATTTAAGACCGTACTTGCGGGAGCAAGTCGGAAATTTTCACACCATATATATATCAAATCAAAATTTGTATTTATATAGCGCCAATTATAATTGCTTCTCATCAGCGCTCATGTAAAGCATGTTGAAAGCAAAAATCATCGGTGGAGATCACTAGAAGTTGCCATTAGACGTTGTCTTTAGACGTTTTTTAAACCCAGCTAATGATAACCCAAATAACATCATCGTATCTCTACTACCAATTTTGTGACTTGACGTAACTGACGTAGTTGGAACATACATTTTTTAACCAATAGACTGACTTGTGGACCCATTGTCATATGGGAGTCCAAATTGGTTATTCCCAAATTGGTGACCGTTTTACTGATACTTATATCAGTCATACTGATGTTAATCGATGAAGGTTCAACCGCTGATGTTTGCTGCCATCGACCAGCCAACATGAACTGAGTCTTAGTCTCCTCAACTTTAGCCTACTTTGACCCAACCACGGGCCGACATCAGATATAGTTTTTGTCTGTTTCTCTAATACGGTAAGCATCCCATCTGGAAAACATGAAACACAAATCTGCATGTCATCTGCGTACCCATGGCAATAATAACCACCTTTATTCAGTAAAACTAATATCTCTGCAACGTACAAATTAAAGAGAATCAGTCCAAGAACAGATCCTTGAGGCACCCCTGACGTAAATTACATTGGTTCCGAGAGACCACCTGAGTAAGCAATCTGCTGAGTCCGACCAGTAAGAAATGATTCGAACCACGTTAACGCAATCTTATTTAAACCATAACAATATTTCAGTCTGTCCAACAGGATTTTATGATTATATACAATATATATATAAAGATGAAAATTTAACTGATTAATGACTAACTACAGAGCACAAGGTTTAATCACAAATCTAATTTTTCAGTAATTTTTAATGGATCTGACACTTCACAGCATTCACTAATATAGCATTTAACCGCTTAAAAATTGAATTTACCAAAATCTGATAATTTTTTATATTACTGTTATGTCATGAAAAGTTGATGAAAATTTAACTGATTTAACTAACTACAGAGCACAACGTATAATCACAAATCTAATCAGCTAAATCAACAAATAAAAAAATGCAATAATTTTAAAAACAAGCATCAATCAATTTATTAGCCAACCATTGTAACTTCCAGGCACTCCAAAGTTAGGGTTATTATTAAGTGTGGAGAAAAAGTATTCGTCAGGTACAAAGATATCTTTCAAATAATTCTGCAGAGCAATGGAAATTGGGTGATGAAGAGCAAAATCAACAAATGCTCTTGAGAGCACAACATGCACGGAGCCCTTCCAGATAATGATACCGCGAGGTGGATGATTTTGAGCATGATACATGCGGATGACAGAGTGCATTCTGTTTAATGAGCGTTTTTAATATATGTTGAAGAAGAATCTAATATATTTATTGGATAATTAAACAAAACCATTATATACAATAAATATAACATACATATCTATATATATCATAGAGATGCACCATATTGCTACAAAATTAGATGATGGGGAAAAAACAAAGAAAAAGGCGGAACAATTGGATAATATTTGGACTGGAAGAATATGACTCTTTCACAGCCTAAAAAACTGATGCTTTAAAATTATGTCAAAAATTGTCAAATGATATAATTGGTAGACTTGATGATTTTAAAATGAAGAGAGTTGAAAAAATGGGTGATGCACCACGCCTTTCGTTGGTTGTGGTTTGAGATATCAATGCCAAAGCTACCATTTTTAAAAACTTATTCAAAATAAAAACATTAGAGCCACAGTTCAATTAAATTTCTGTGTGACATGATATAATGCCAGAACAAAGATTACTGTTGAGTAAAATGATTGTTGAAGCAAAGAATAGACAAGTAAATGTTCGAAATGATTTTTTATACAGAGTCAGTGAGGAAGTAGGACAATGGAGTTAATAAGGTTCAAAAAAAGAACCAATGATGTAAAACAAATGAAATCAAATAGCAATTCTAATACTGGTTCTGTAATGAAGAAGGAAAAACTTGGCTTAATAAATATTAGGTCGATTATCTCTAAGGCAAATGAACTTTTCCAGTTGCTGATGGATGGCTTGGATATTTTAGTTGTGGTAAAATCTTGACATTGTTCTTCTGATCATAATGGGTAAAAATTGCAATCCTCCCTGACAATATGTTTGTAAATTTTTTGAGGATTAATGATCGATATCATGGAGGTTTGATAACTTTTTTTCCAAAATTGTTATAAATATAAAAAACTAAACCTGTCTTTAGCATTATTATTTGAAGCTCTGTCTTGTTTTGACAATAAATGGAATAAAAATAGCTCTTTTTGCTCTGTATCGGCCTGGTTCGAAATTAGTACCATCTTTATTTTCAGGAACAGTTGTCAATGTTAGAATATGTAACAACATTAAATGATCACGTAATCCTATTAGGTGATATCAATATTTATTTTGAGAAGTCAGATGATAAACATACTATCTCTTTTAATGATTTGTTTGGCTTGTTTCTGTGCATAATGTTATTATATTAGTTACCAATGTTAATTAGTGGGACATTTTTAGACCATAGTCTGATAACAGTTAAATTGTCTATACATAAACCGTTGACTAAAAAAGTAAACAAATACGTTCGATCCTGGATTCGGGTTGACAAAAAAAATCCCTTTCATTAATTAACGGTTCATGATCAGTAAATACTGTTGTTATGATGATGCAAATGAGGCAGCGGAATTTTTTAATAATGAATTGCTGAGGATTGCTGCCCCAACTCAATCAATCTTCGTTTTGCGTCCAGAAACCCGGTTCCTCGAGGTAGGACGTCGTTTTCTTAGCCATCAACTTTTTGCGCCAAATTAGACGATCAGTTGTATCCATTTCATTTAAATTTAGAGCTTTCATGTCTTGCTCGATTGTTTGCGACCAGGACTTCTTTGGACGGCCTTTGGGACGTATGCCAGGTACTTCAACATTTGCAAGAGAAGTTATGGCACTGTTTCTACTTCGTTTGACATTACCAAACCACCGCAGACGGTGTTGCCGGCATTCGTCCTTTATATCATCTAAACCAGCACGACGCAGGATTTCGGTAGATTTGATGTGGTCCTTCAACTCATATGCTGCCCCAACTCATATGGTTGAAACAAAATTGTGTTAATGACACACTGGTATAACAACGATTGTAGAAACTTGAAAAGGGAATGTGGAAAAGCTGAAAGAAAATACAGAAAGCATAATCGAGCTGAAGACAAAAAAAAATGGATTTAATAAAAATAAAAATTTTTCTAAAAAGAAGGAAACTTTTTGGAATAAATTAGTTAATGAAAATGATAAAAACCCTAAAAAAATATGAAAATATTGAAAAAAATTTTATTCAAATGATTTTACAGTGACTCATACAGCTTATGATTTTGCAGATTTCATTATCAACAAAATTGGAAAAATAAAGGAAAAAGAAAATACTGTGGGTGCTGAAGAACCCTCCATCATATGTAGATTCAATATTGATGTAAAATTTCTGAAAATTTTGCAAGCGTCTCAATCTGAAGTTAGAGCACTGGTACTCAGTTTGTCATTAACTAATTGTAGACTTGATGGCATGCCAGCTAATGTTTTTAAACAATACACCGATTATTTTTTGCCCTATCTTACAGGCTTAATTGATTTTTGCTAATCAACAGATACAGCTATACAAACACAAGTGATCGTTACTTCATTCCCAAAACAGTTAAGAGCAGATATGATTAATTTGAAAAACTTTCGTCCGATGTCAAATTTATCGTTTGTTTCTAAGATTGTAGAAAAATTGTTTCAAAATAGTTTTTGCAATCTTTGAAAATGAACGATCTTTTATGAAACGGTCTATGGTTTGTTTGTTGACATTCGTGTTTGGACGTTGCTTTTTGGCAATTCCTGGCTGCGGAAATGTTTTTCGGATTGCTTTTCGTCAAAAATATGTTAATTAAATTCTATTTCCAACACTGCTAAAGTTTCATCGTCGACCAAATGCTCAAGCCAACGGATCGACTCCAGCTTATTATCGCTCACAACAAACAACGTGACTGCCGTAACTCCACCGTTTCTTCTCGTAAAAAGAGCCATTCGTGTGTGTTGCTAGTGGGATACTTTTCCATCTACACATTTTTACCTCCATACATTCACCAACAACTAATCAACGAACGTTAAGAGAAACATCGGAGGCATTTTTAGTGATAGCATGAATCTAGGAATTTAGCCAACTAAGCGCCCCCCCCAGAGTAGGGCACTATAAAAATTAGGAGCGCTCCAGACATTATGCACAGGACGCTATATAAATGACACACTATGATTATTATTGCCAAGGTGTCACTCTAAGAAATGGCCATGTTGTAGGTGCTGTCGGAGCCTTTTAAAGCTTCAGACAATAATCAAGCTTTGGTGTCTTTGATGAAGTTTTGCAGTTATTTGAATCGTATATACATGAATATACTCTATATTGATGCGGCGTGACATCCCACTACAACTACAATCAAGACTTAATAAATCTGTGATACGTCCGTCCGGTGTTGTTATATGGTGCAGAAACATGGCCAATGACAACCAAACTGGAACAACAACTTCAACAAACCGATATGAAAATGCTCCGATGGATGCAACGAATTAGTCTGAAGGACCACATCAAATCTACCGAAATCCTGCGTCGTGCTGGTTTAGATGATATAAAGGACGAATGTCGGCAACACGTGGTTTGGTCATGTCAAACGAAGTGGAAACAGTGTCATAACTTCTCTTGCAGACGTTGAAGTACCTGGCACAAGTCCCAAAGGCCGTCCAAAGAAGTCCTGGTCGCAAACAATCGAGCAAGACATGCAAGCTCTAAATTTAAATGAAATGGATACAACTGATTGTCTAATTTGGCGCAAAAAATTGATAGCAAAAAAAACAACGCCCTACCTCGGGGAACTGGGTCTCTGGACGCTAAACAAAGATTGATTGATTGTACTCAGCAGATTAATTTTAATAATACCTCATCAAGGGTGGTAGAAGTCTTGTTAGGGGTTCCACAAAGGTCTGTTTTGGGTTCACTGCTCTTCATGTTGTACACAGCTCATGAATTTACACTCAAAGGTTTTGCGTACGCTGATGATGTGCAGTTAGTTGGAAGTTTTACCTCTGGTGTATTAAAGGATTTGATAGAGAAAATGTTGGAATGTTTGGCGGCTGTGGATAAATGGATGGCTTCAAATGGCATAAAAACCAATCAAGATATTACCTATTGGTACTTGGCAGCAGATTTATAAATTTAATCTTGATTGTCTAAAAATATGTAACAAGGTTATTGATTTAAAAAATCAGCCATTGTACTGGCTGTTACAATTAATAAAAGTTTACGCATGGGTGATCGTGTTAAATCACTGGTCAAATCTTGCGTCTTCCAAATACTTTAGTAAAATAGAATTAAAGCGTGTTTGAATAGATCAACCTAAGTTACCCTAATTCATTCGTTTGTGCACTCTAGATTGGACTACTGCAATGAATTGTTGTAAGGAGTTTCAAGACATGAAATTGCCATTATTATTATTATTATTATTATTAAGAGAAATCTTAATATAGCGTTCGTTATAGCAGTTTTCACAAACGCTATCAAATTATAACTAATATTAATAACAAAATAGCAAGAATGAAAAAAGATGAACTATAATGAAAAAAGGTATGTCTTCAATTGTCTTTTAAATCCAGCAATGTTCATTCCAGGCATTCTGAGGGCTGACGGCAAGCCGATCCATACGATAGGGCCTGACAGCAAAATCATGCGATCCAATCTTTAGCTGTCTATGAGGAACCACCTCAGACGCACACCAGATGCGATCGACGTTTTTAATTTCAGTTTATTTGATAAATATTTTGGAGCCAGACCATTTAGTGATTTAAAAACTGTGACAGGGATTTTAAAAACAATTCTTTTATTTATGGGCAACCAATGCAAATCACTCAGGATCGGTGTGGCATGATCATACCATCGACATCCAGCCACAATCCAGGCAGTACGGTTTTGTATCGATTGCAGAATTTTGATGGATCTAGCCGGGAGTCCATAAAATAAACTATTGCAATAATCGACACGTGAGTGCACCAACGCATGCGCCAGAGTCTGCACTGCGTCTTTATCAAGTGATTCTCGAATTTGTTTCATTCTTCTAATCTGTGCCAAGCATGATATAGAGATCATTTCAAAATGAGATTTCATTGTTAGGTTTGAATCAGTTATAAAACCTAGATTCGACACTGCTTTACAGAAATCTATTTTTTTATCATTCATAACAACTGCCAACTGCTGCCAGGTACCAATAGGAAAAAATTTTTTTTTACCCTGGTTAAGCTTCAATTCATTTCTCGACATCCACAGATTAACCTCCGACATACATTCAATGAATCTCGTAATCTCGTCTTGAAATAACTTCGGTTTACCTGATAACATAATTTGAATGTCGTCTGCGTATAAAATCATATGAATCAATTATCTTCAGCACATCAGATGTATAAAGCAGAAACAATAAAGGACCCAAAACAGATCCCTGCGGCACACCAGAGCGAACCACACTGACGTAGGACAAACTCCCGTTGAACGAAACCTGCTGTGTTCGGCCAATCAAGTAGCTTCTGAGCCAATTTATTATTTCCCCAGATATTCCAAAATTTTGATGCAGCCTGAGCAGTAACATTTCATGATTGACACAGTCGAAAGCCGAGCTCATGTCCAAAAATGCCAACAAGGAAATGTTTTGAGCATCCATCTCAGCATAAACCCCTGAGAGAACATGTAGCAGGGTAGTTTCAGTGGAGTGAAATCGTCTAAAACCGGATTGATGTGCAGGCATGAGATTATTATCATTCAAATGAGCAAGCAATTGTCTCTACACCATTCTTTCAATGAGTTTTGATATAAATGACAGATTACTGACTGGTCGATAATTACTGACGTCACCCGGATCTGCATCACTTTTTTTCAACAACGGCACAACAGTTGCATGTTTACAAGGTGTGGGGAAGCAACTTACCCTCATGCACAAATTTATCAAACTGGTTATAAAGGGACAAAACAATTCAAAATGCTTTTTAAAAAACGCGTTTGTAAAATATCTAGTTGACAGGACTTTGTAGGTGAATGAAGCACTTCTTTCCTGACATCAGCCTCAGACACCGCCCAAAAATTCGAAAACAACTGCTGACATCCATGATCATCACTGTTAAAACAAGATTGATTTTCAGTGTCAATCCTCTGTTATATCACTTTAATTTTTTCATTAAAGAAAGTCAAGAACTGGCCAGCATTGAGATCATTGAACTCGCGTTTAGTGCCTTCACTGTGACTGTTTAGAAAAATTTTATTAACCACCCTTAATGCTGCAGCCTGCTCAGAATAGAGCTGCTAGAATAGTTGTGCTAGTCGATTTGAACATATTACTCCAGTACTCAAGGATTTCCATTGGATGTCGGTTGATAACAGAGTAGTCTACTAAATTTGCGATTTGGTGTTTAGATGCTTGAATGCTCCACAATATTTATCTAACATGTTAACTCACAGGTCGTCTGTTTCTCAGACCACAGGATTAAGATCGGATAGAGAAAATCTGTTGATCACTGCAGTGACAGAATGAACATTGTATCAAAACGTTTTCAAAATGTATGCGGACCAAAACTTTGAAACGATCTGCCCCATTTTATGCGTCAGTCTAACTTATCGCTACTACAGTCCAAGAAACAACTAAAGACACGCCTTTTTCGTTGTGATTAGTAACATTATCATTGAAAATTTTTTTCGTTCTAATTGTTAACATTAACATTGAACATTTAGTTTCTTTTTCTCGTTCTAATTATTAAAATTAACATAAATTTTGTAAGGAGTCCGTGAAACGACTTTTAATGGGCGCTTATAATATTTATAAAAATTTATAATAACTTATAATAGCAAATGGCTTCTAACAACTAATAAATGTTTATCTGACTTTGAACCAACATAAAAACAACGACCCATAAAAAATTACCTTTTAAAAGTGCCCTCCACATTATTAGCTCCATCAAAAATTTTTAATATTTGAATTAGTTCCCAGTTTGTTCTTAATGGGTATTCCTGGCCGGTCAAATTGATAAAATATTTCCACAGAGGTCGCATCTTGCTTCTCGGTGAGGATGAGGTCATTTTGTTTGCAGTGTTGTTTAACTTGATAACTGTCAATTAGTAAAATGATATACGTCAAACGAATATCTATACATGCATGCACGCACACACAATATAATATATTAAATTATTAAATTATAATATATTAAATTATTAAATTATCAATTTTTTAATAATATTTTGTATTTTATATAATTTATTTATTTATTAAATTAACAAAATATTTTCACCGATTGTAAACCATAGAATCTATTCATGCCAAAGGATTTTAAAAAGATATCGAATCGATGCTAAAGCTGCAATATATAAGACCGACACGTTTTATGTAGGAAGGTTTTAGAGAAGGTTTTGTAAAGAGGTTTGTTGCGAAGTTGTAATTGTGATCTATGCGTAGTTACTTGGATTAATTTGGTGTTTCCATTACTGTCGGCAATCAAATAAACGTTCAACAAAGTTTGTGTTTGAAGCAGTTGTGTTCATCTATCGGAAATCTTGAACATAGTGTTGGAAATATAAAGATTTGTAATGTTATAACATTGACGTTGGAAGTAACGAGAGTTCAAAGTGTTATTTATAACTATAATATATATATATATATACCGAATGTTTGGCGTTAATATGTTTGTAGTTCGTTTTTTCAATTTTTCTCACTAAAGTTTTTTGGTGAACGTTTAGTTTATTAAAATTCAAAATAAACTTATTTTCCGAATTCATGCTGCAAATAAGGCCATATTTCGATTCCGAATGAATCATCATCAGTGCTTTCTGCTGTTTATATAGGGAAATATTGACTTTGTCAAAATGAACTTAGATGGAGATTGACTTTGTCAAAGTGAATTTAGATGGAAATTAGGTGTCAGGTTTTTTTATTGGCTGATCATCTTCTTTGACCAATCCGTAATTGTACCGCAACATCTTCAAAAATATACCGTGGTTGACACAGTCGAATGCTGACGACATATCCAGGAACGACAGTAATGAAATGTTTTGAACATCCATTGTTGAAAATATGTTTGATAAAACCTGAAGAAACGCTGTCTCAGTTGAGTGGAAGCGTCGGCACATGTCCTTAAAAAATACTCATATTTGTTTATTTGCTTTCTCACCAGTTTTATTAACCTTTGTTTGAAAGGGGGTAAATTTCCTGTTAGTTTCAAACATGCCGTAGTTTTTCCAATTTTTATGAAAACAAGCTCTGATGTTACAACAACAACACACGTTTAGACAACATTTTCCCCGAGATCGGGGGTTGCCGTTTGGCTACCTATGATGAAACCGAAATACCCCTCGACGCCATCCACATCTGTCACTCGCCTCAGTATCACGCAACCCCGCTTTCACCCTGTCCTTCTCCACCTGCTCTCTCCATCCCAATCGCGGACGACCCCTTCCTACCACTCCTTCAACCTCGAACTCCAACGTTCGCCTAATCCCGACTCTTTCATCCCTTCTCAACACATTTCCATACCACCGCAATCTCGATCTCCTTATCAATGTCACAATGTCCTCATTCAGTCCCATCATTGACATCAGCTCTGTACTACTCCTCCTATCCTTCACTTTAACCCCACACATCATCCTCACCATAGCTGTTTCAGCCCTCTGCAGTACACTTTCCTCCTCTCTCCTCAACACCCAAGTTTCACCACCATATACCATCGCTGCTCTCACACATGCTTTATATACCCTCCCTTTCATCTTCACTGACCATTTCTTTCCACACAATACCCCACCCAGTTCCCTAAATTTCATCCATCCCACACGAACTCTAGCCGTAACTGCGCTCAAACATCCTCCATCCGCATTCAGCTTATCCCCTAAGTAAACAAAACTTTCCACTCTTTCAATACTACCACTCAATCCCGTCCTTGCGTCCGTCCTATTAATCACAACATGAACACATTTCTTACATTTGAACGTGCCTTCCACCTTTTTCAGTGCCCCCCTCAAACCACTACATCTCTTATGCACCCATTTCTGACATCCTATACACAACACCGAGTTAGCCTTCACTCTCCTGTCACATACCCCACAGGGGTCTATTTTACTTATCACTCGCTCCCCACCTTCCCCACTCACCATTACTTTCCTCTTACCAATATTAACTTTTAACCCTTTCCTTTCAATAACACTTTTCCATCTGTCAAATTTTAACTGCAATTCTTCCATGCTATCAGCCATCAAGACTAAATCATCTGCATACAAAATCTCAAATAACAACCCCTCCATTATGTTTCCACACACAGCATCCATCACAATCGCAAACAGAGACGGTGATAACACTGATCCTTGATGCACTCCTACCTTAACACTAAAAGCGTCCGACATCCCCCTTCCAACCCTCACCTTTGCATCACAGCTTTAACAGGTCTCTCATTCACTCCTTTCTTCCTCAACGCCCATTCAATGACCTTCCTCGGTACTCGATCAAAAGCCTTTTCTAGATCCACAAAACACATATACAATCTTCGTTTCTTCTTTCTATAATTCTCCTGCAACATTCTCACCATGAACAACGCATCCACCGTTCCCCTACCAGGCATAAACCCACACTGCATTTCATTAACTGTCACCATATTTCTCAACCTCCTCTCAAGCACCCTCTCCACTACCTTAATTCCGTGCTCTAGCAATTTCATACCCCTATATGACCCACAATCTCTCACATCTTCTTTGCCCTTATACAACGGCACCAACACACTGTGTCGCCAATCCTCAGGTATACCTTCATCATCAAACATACTGTTAGCAATTCTCATCATAACTTCAATTCCTATCACCCCACTCGCTTTTATATGTTCTGCCGCCACTTCCGAAACCCTTATCGCCTTACCTAGTTTCATTTCTCTAACTGCTTTCTCTACTTCCTCCATCGTCACCTTCTCTATAGGTCCGTGTGTGACCGCGGATTCCACATCTCCATCCCACTCATTCTCTTCATTCATCAACCTTTCCATATGAGCTTTCCACACCTGAGCTTTTTCCTCCTCATCTATGCACAACTTGCCAGATCCATCCCAAACACATCCATTCCCTATAACATCTTTCCTATCCCTCATTGACTGCTTTGCTACTTTGAACATTTTCCTCGAACTCACATCAAATTCCATTTCCTTCATTAACCTATCTGATGCTTTCGTCATTGCAGTTGCCACTGCCTGTTTTGCAACCTTCTTAGCCTTCCTATACTCAGACTCCGCTTCCTCCGTCATGTCCCTTCTCCATACCCTAAACCTCTCCTTCTTGACTTCCAAAACCCTTCTTATATCTTCATCCCACCACCACGTCTCACCATGCCTACACTTTCCTTTCGTCCATCCACATACTTTATCTGCCGTAGCCAACACACAGTCCCTGTATCTCTCCCAAACATCTCCATCCTTACCACTCTCCCAATTTTCAGCCACCTTCACTTCAAATGCCTTCCTCACCTCTGCATCTTGCAACTTCCTTGTCTTTCTCTTTGCCACAAACTTATCCTTCTTCCTCCTCCCCATTTCTTTTGATGTCACATCCATCACAACCATACTATGCTGCAACATACCAGGTATCGCCTTCACATTCTTCACATACTTCCTATGTTTGGCCCTTACCAATATATAGTCTATCATCGATTTATGTTCCCCTGATCTATAAGTAATCAATCGCGCTGGTTCCCATCCGCCCCCACATGACCATTCAAATCACCCATCAACACCACAAACTCATCCAACCCCGCTTGCCCAATCTCGTCAGAAACATCATCATAAAACCTATCCTTCTCCTCTTTCTTCCTACTTTGTTGCGGAGCATATCCTGATATCACCCTCACTATTACTTTTCCAAACACCATCACCACCACAATTACACCATTGCTTCTCCGCCTCACTTCCAACACCTTCTCCACCAACTCTTCTCTTACCATCACACCAACTCCTCCAGTACCATCATCCCCCTTCCACCACAACTTATATCTTCCACCTTTAGCCCCCACAAACTTTGTAACCTCACCCTTCTATCTGATCTCCTGTAATGCAGCCACGTCAACCATTCTCCTCTGCAGCTCCTCTACCACTTCCAAACTTCTTCCTGTCAACGTGCCTACATTCCAGGTACCAAACCTCCAACCCCTTGGTCTACAAGTAGTCCATCCATCTATATTGCCTTGCACCGCCACACTATAGAGTGGGGTGCCTGTAGCCAGACCATCCACAGGGCCTTGCACCACAACCCCATGAACTGGGTCTCCGGAGATTCTTCGCACCCTCTTCTGCCGGTTACTGAGGGCCATTGTTATTTCCGTCATCATAAGTATTATTTTTTGGCTAGTTTTTACGCAGGACGCCCTTCCTTACTCAACCACAGTTATAAGCGGTGGGCCTAGCCTTTGATGATCCAACATCACTCACAAGGCAGTGAGGGTCAGTTTAATGTCATAACCAGGACTGATGTAAATAATATTAAAAATTATAGACCTATATCAAATCTTTCGTTCATATCAAAGGTTGTCGAGAGGGTTGTTATGAAGAGTTTGCTAGTCTATTTGTCTGTAAATGGTTTGATGCCGATTCATCAGTACGCATATAGACGATTCCACTCAACTGAGACAGCGTTTCTTCAGGTTTTATCAAACATATTTTCAACAATGGATGTTCAAAACATTTCATTACTGTCGTTCCTGGATATGTCGTCAGCGTTCGACTGTGTCAACCATGGTATACTTTTGAAGATGTTGCGGTACAATTACGGATTGGTCAAAGAAGATGATCAGCCAATAAAGAAACCTGACACCTAATTTCCATCTAAATTCACTTTGACAAAGTCAATCTCCATCTAAGTTCATTTTGACAGAGTCAATATTTCCCTATATAAACAGCAGAAAGCACTGATGATGATTCATTCGGAATCGAAATATGGCCTTATTTACAGCATGAATTCGAAAAATAAGTTTATTTTGAATTTTAATAAACTAAACGTTCACCAAAAAACTTTAGTGAGAAAAATTGAAAAAACGAACTACAAACATATTAACGCCAAACATTCGGTAGAATTTATAGAATATTGTAAATATATATATATATATATATATATATATATATATTTATTTATTTATATTTTATTTTTTTTTATTTCCAGTCATTTATTTGGTAAATAAGAAAATCACCAGGAGATCTAAAAGAAAAATAACTTGTGCAGACCACCTTAATTAAAATGTAATTGAGTGAATGTCATAGCAAAAAAAATAAAAAATTTCAAATGAGTAATTCAAATTGGAAAATAAAAATTTTACATCGTTTCTGCAATTGTCTAATAGTAGCAAAAATCAAAGTAATATCTAATAGTAGCAAATTGTCTAATAGTAGTAAAAATCAAAGTAATATCATGATTATGGAATAATAATAACTAATTAAGTTTACAGGACATTTTCGAGAATTTTCAAAGGAGGAGAAAATTGTATGAACCATTACGTTTACATTGCAACAAGGATCTAAGCTGATCGACGGTGAAATATTCGGAGGTTAGATTTCTTCAAATATCTCATCATTATTCTATTTATTTTCAGGAAAATCAGTTAGTCAGATATCTGATCTGCTGACGCCGCTGTTTTTTTTTTGGTGTTGTTAACACCTTTCATTGCAGATGCATTTGTCTTGGCACTGGGCAGAGTGTTCGAGAAGTTGGTGTTATCTTTATCGAAGATCCATTCACGAATGATAACTGAGGCAGGCCAGTTTGATGCAGTCATCACCTTGCCATACCCCTCGGCCGGGACACACAATCTGAATGAGGAGTATTTTATTTCATCATCATTTTCTACACGTTTAGAGGCCGGATAACAGGAAATCAAATTGATTCCTCTATTCTCACAGTGTTTTTCGATTTTGGAACTGTCAGGTAGTTTGACATTCCCAATGTAGAAAACTTTTTTTTAAATAATGGATTTAGATGCCGTGAAGAGGGGGCTAGTTGTGATTGATCCCAAAATCTTTGAGGGTTTGTGAGATTTATTTTTATTGATATTTTCTTCAACTTTTTTAGCAATTGGTGGTAAAGATATTGATTTGACTTTTTTCTTACTGCGCTGAACGAGTGTCATACGATCGTCAGAAACATTATTGTCAGATTGTAATTTTTTATTGATATTTTCTTCAACTTTTTTAGCAATTGGCGGTAAAGATATTGATTTGACTTTTTTCTTATTGCGCTGAACGAGTGTCATACGATTTATTTGTTTTTGACACTAAAATATTTCACCATGAAGTATCGATTGTTTCATTTTTAATACGATTAACATTTGTATCGTAGACATTACACGTAGCAAGATTTGTGCGAGAGTTTGTATCATGCGCGATACTTGAAACAAGATTTGTGCAAGTAGGCGCACCTGTTAATTTGTTTGTATCATGCGCGATACTTGAAACGAGATTTGTACAAGTAGGCGCAACTGTTAATTTGTTTACCAGCGATTTATTTCTATCCAGTATTTCATTCAGCACGGCGGCCATTTTGTCACCTTTTTCATTTATTGCCTCCAACATATCATTCGACATCAAATCAGGTATTTTTTTTATATTTAAAATCACAAATGTTGGCAAATGTTGACAAAGATCATTTGTCGACATATATTTTATCAAATCAACAATATCAAGCATTATATCAAACTTGGTATTGCCACACGCTGTCTGGTTGAAGCTTTTACTTTTCTTTCTTTTTTTATATTATCCAATTCAGAATTCAATGTTTTTTTTAGCAACAAGCAATTCTTCATGACTATAAAAATTTGAAACATTATTTTGAAACTTTTTTTCGTCTAATTTATCCATATTGTTCAGAAAATACCACAAAACCTCTGAGACGAATAATTTTTTGGAAGCCATATTTTTCAATTCCTTAAATTCCTTAAATATATATAAGTATATATATATATATATATATATATATATATATATATATATATATATACATATTTTTCAATTCCTTAAATTCCTTAAATATATATAAGTATATATATATATATATATATATATATATATATATATATATATATATATATATATATATATATATATATTCGTTAAAAATTGTTGCCCGTTTAGCATTTATTAACTTTTTTACAATCGATTCAACAGAACGCAATTTTTCATAATCATATTGATATTTATTCAATAATTGTGTCATAGCTAGGCTGACAGCTGTTTCGGCAAAGATGCCATCGTCGGAGCCTTGGGTAATTAAATAATGTATATCAAATTGTAATTGTATAAAATCAATGCGTTAAATGTAATGTCAAATTGAAACAAAATGGAATTAAAGATAAACCTTGAAATTGAAAATTCAACGGTAATGAAACATCTACGGTAACATCAAAACGCACAAACCAAACAATCCACTACGACCTATCATTTCACAGTGCCCGACTCCAACTTATCAATTATCAATTTCAATAAACTTTGGGATCCATATGTTCCGCGTACCTTCTCCGTTAAATCTAGCTTTGAGTTCATTGACATCATTAACGGCAACAAACGATGCGCGGGCCATATGGCCTCATTGGATGTCGAAAGCCTATTTACTAACGTACTAATAGATTACACTATTCAAATCTTCTGTAATTACGTATATAATCATCCAACTCTACCACAGTTGGATATTCCACCAAATTTACTCATAGAGCTTCTGAAATTATGTACCGTGGAAAATCCCTTCACCGCTCCAGATGGCTTACTGTAGCGACAAATCGATGGCGTAGCGATGGGTTCTCCTCTTGGTCCGATATTTGCCGAATTCTATATGGCCGATCTTGAGGCGAGAATATTTAATCATCCGGACAACAAACCCTTGATATACACACGCTACGTGGATGATATATTCATCGTTATTAAATCCATCGCAGACATATATAACCTTCAGAACATCTTTCAAAATAATTCACATTTAAAATTCACTGTTGAATTTAGCACTGAACAACAACTTGCCTTTTTGGACTGCTTGATTGAACAAAAGGTTGAGCAATTTGTTACTAAAGTTTATCTCAAGCCTTCGAAATCAGGTCAAGTCCTTAATAATAATTCAGATTGTCCAGATCGTTATAAAGATAATGTGGTGTATAACTTCGTCCATCGTGCTTTTAAAATTTCATCCGACATTAACATTTTTCGTGAAGAATTAAAGCGAATTAAACAACTTCTAATTAACAATAACTATTCTAATAAAATAATTGACAACACAATTTCTAAATATTTTTACAAAATCAATATAGCTCCTACTATTTCTCAACAAACAACAACTAAAACAACAATACCGTTGTACTATTCAAATCAAATGCACGACAACTACAAAGCCGACGAAGCACAACTGAAACGCATCATTAAATCCAACATTTCAATCTGCGACAACAACAATCGACTTAAATTAATAATATACTACAACACCAATCGTACGTAAAAAACAGCAATAACCGACCTTCTTCTACATTAGAGAAGACGAACCTCGTGTACCAATTCGTATGTCCTATGCCACACAGTGTTGTGGAAAGTTACATTGGTCACACGCGAACTAGTCTTTCTCGTAGACTTATCACACACGCACAAGACGGTGCCATTAAAAATCACATGGAAAGTGAACACCGTATGCCTCTCACTAGAGCTATACTGGACACAAATACGACAATACTCGAGTTTGAAACCAATCCAGTCCGTCTCAAAATCAAAGAGGCCTTGTATATCAATAAACGCAAACCTTCAATCAATAAACAACTTAATAGCTTCGAGCATACATTACAGTTATTTTCACAATATTGAGATGTGATCCCTATGCTGTTAACCCCATCAATCACTACGTACCACAACGGCATGAATTTCGAATGACTACAAATGAATTCCTGCCAGTTAATACGAAATTCTTGACGCAGCGTTGCCGGTCCATGGTGGTCACGTCACTTGATCTCTTATTTTAATGTTTTAATATTTAAAATTTTCAATAATAATTTGGTTTATATTTCATTAAGCCTGAATTATTTATTTTATTAATTTATATATTTTAATTTCCTTAAGGAAACGATATTTAAAATTCTAATTTTTTATTTTAAAATATAAACATTAAATTTAAATATTTTTCCCTATCATTTATATATTTCAGTCATCTTCATTATATATAGTCATATTAGTTATATATAGTTTAACGGACACTATAATACACCATCACTACATCAAACTATACTAACCGTTTGATGAATATCATTGCAATAGAATGTACACAATACACACGCTTGCAAAACGTACCATAGCCACTTGAACTTTTCTTATAACGACAACCACCAGTTATAAGCAGTGGGTCTAGCCTTTTTGCTGAAAGCACACAAGGCAGCGCGGTTGCAGATTATCTCGTGCCCAAGAGAGCACTGTTGTCAGCAGTGCACCTAGCCTTTGGGTAAAAGGTCCCGTTCCACAAGTCAGTGGATTTAGAATAGAAGATGTTGGAGCCGTTGTCCTAGGATCCGGATCCTCTGCCTCTTTCACCGTTGTTTTCTTTCTTTTGGTACAGTTGGTTCGTGGCATCTTATTCTGTATTATTCGATGCAATCCTAGAAGGTCTCCCTGCCCAGGACTTTCCCCTATCCACCATCTGGGGTCGCGCCTCATAGCCAGTGCACCCCAGCATGAAGTGCACCCCAGCATGAAGAGTCTTTTTTATTGAAATTACTTACCTTAATTAAGAAGATGACACCATTGCATTGTTTTTTCACCTCTTTATAAACATATAAGCAGATATTTAAACCAAAAATATTACTGAACCAATTGAACAAAAAGAAAAAGCTGAATAATAGTGCATCTTTTTTTGTTGCAATTCAAGTAGTAGCCTGAAGTTCTCATTTACATTAATGACCAGAAAACAAATAACAATACAAATTTAAAAAAAGATAATATTTTAATGCTTAATGAATGACCAAAATAATAATCAAATAATTAACTAACTTGTGACATCCTCAACAGCAAATCTATTCCACAATTCTCTCATACAGTCAAGTTCAGGTTGTAGTACGGTGAAAGTGGCCCATTGAACATCATAAGATATCGGAGCAACAAAGACTCTTCCATTGGGAAAACACCTAGCAAGAGCTTCAACATTTGATTTATAATTTGAATCTGTTTTCTTATCAACGTGTATACAATAATAATTCTGTGGTCTGTAAACAGCTCTGAATAATCTAATGAATTGTTCATAATCTTTGTATATTAACATGCTATAAGCTATTGGAAAATTGGCTTCTTCATCATTTAATGGTTCCTTGATGAATCCTTTGTAAGATTTATAAAATTCGCATCCATCATTTGATGACAGCAACTGCGGAATTTGAGTTTCTGGTGGTAACTTATTACTTTCATAAGACATGTCTTTGTGGCGCCGCCGAGCAACATTTATTTCAAATGGATTTCCTGAAAATAAATCTTTGCAACTGACTTCTTCAATTTTTATGTGTGGTACCATTGGTGATTTTTTTTTACCACTGGCTATCCATTCCTGAAATTCTTTTTGTAAATTATTTAAACTATTATTTTGAATTATTTTCTTTTTCATTTGACTTTTTCTTTTCATAGGTTTAACCATGTTAACTTTATTGTTGAATAAATTAATACTAGGTTCCTTTGCCGTTGTTGGTGAAATCGAAATGGGGGCGTTTAATTTATAAAAACTAACCGGCTTGATGAGATTTATATTCATATCATCTAAATCTTTTGAAGTTTTTTCCCAAAAAGGAAAGATAATGATGAATGTACCACCGAGAGTAAATAAAAAGGCGGAGAGTTTGTAGGTCTTAACGTTTTTTAAATTCATTCTTTTCTTTTGATTTGAATTTGAATATAATATTTGATCTTTTTTTGAAATATTAAAATTTGAAAACAACTATTTAAAATGTAATATTTTTTTAATATTTTTAAAAACAAATTTAAAAAAAGATTTCAAATTTTAGATTATATATTTTATTATTATGACACTATTAAAATGCAAAAAAACAGATTAAATTTGAAAAAAAAGTTTGATTGTGATAAGCAAGAACACATACGTGTTCGGTGTTTTGTTTAAAAATGAATTTAATCATTCAGTGTATAAATGACCAAACGATATCCACACACTTAGAAAACCTATACAAGTTCTTGAACGCACCCGCGCACATTTTCTGTGCGCTTTAGAGTCTGGCGTCATTCCCATGCACATATCCATAGTCATTCCTTATATACATGTTCCTTAGTTTCCATGAACAACTATTTATCAAACTTATCAAATTTTACAATTTTTACATCTTTATAGTTTATTAATAAATATTTATTCATTTTTAAAGATTTATTTAATATGATTATTTTTAATTGATTTATTTTATACATTTGCATACATAAATGTAGAATAATAATGCATATTTTTTTGAGTGCTAATATATATTTCGGGCGCCTTGTGATGAAGGTCTTATCCTGATATGTTCATTGTGTGACGTCTTGTTATTAATAGTTATGCTTGCGTTGACAAAGGTTGTGTGCAGTAGTTTTGATTAGTGGTAGTAGAGGATGGATGACATAGTTGTAGTTATTTTACAATTTTATTAATATTTATAAATGTATACAATTATATTTAAGCATATTTAGTATCTTTTTCCTAGTCTCGTATAGCCAGGCTAACTTGTGTGATCGTCGTGCTTGACAGTCCTCCCCCTGTACGACATACGCTTAAAGGACTTTCTTAGAATACAAAAGAAAACATAGAATACAAACGATTTTAAGTATATATAATAATAACGTATTATTATACTTTTGTATTTATGATCATATATACACAAATATAGATATAAAAATATGTAATAATATATTTAGTTGTTTATTCTAAATATATCGTTATAATTATAGAATAGTTATATTATACTTTAATTTATATATAATAATAAATTATAAATATAAAATGGCAACCTCGGAGTTATCCTTATTTTATTTTATATCTTCTTATCTACAGTGGCGGATTAACCTTTTTGCCGCCTAAAGGCACTCGTGGTTTGCCGCCCCAATTTTAAATTTTATAATAAATTTACAAATTAAATTCATATAATTGCAATATTTTTAAAACATTTTTATTAAGTACCTTCTTTAATAATGTTCATGTAATGTAATATTATCAATTTAAAAAAATAAATTTTCTTTCATTGCAGTTTATAAAAGTTATTTCAAAACTTTCCGACGTGCCTTCCTGCGCGTAAATTCATCAATAACGAAATTAATGTCTAAATCTTGCAAAATTGTTTTTTCGATGCATAGAATTGCAAGATAATTTAACATTTCTTCGGACATTGTCGAACGCAAATAGTTTTTAACGCGCTTTAAACAAGAAAAAGATCGCTCGAATCTTATCCATTTACACAAATCAATTGGAGTGTGTGGAACTGCATTTTGGTCTAAGGTAGCCAAATGAAACTTTAAATGCAACAGTTCAGTATTTAAGGTGTCGTCTAGATCGTTTGGAAATAAAGATCTTAATCCATCCGCTGCAATCTCTAACTCACCCTTTGACAATGTTTTGAACTGTACAATTGCTTTGAAATTTTCATTACTTTCTACGTAAGCGTTTCGTCTCTTGTTCATTTCAAAATTTAAGTTATCCACAATTACCTAAAAAATGTTTACACGAAAATTTTCTTGAGTGGTTAATTCTGTTTCATTGTCAACTGATTCGTCGTAATGCCGCTTCCGTTTTCTTAATGGCGGTACCTTGAAGTCATCAACAAAAGACAGGACTTTTCCTTTTTTTCATAATCTTCAAATCTTTCTCTGAGTGATTCGTAACAACGTTAAAAGTGATTCGTAAATTTCGATTATAGTCGATAGATCAATGTCTACTTTTTGAAGTTTGACGTTAGACTTGTTCAGACATTCTAAAACAAAACCCCACAATTCTATCATAATTCCGGTTTCAAGAAAACTCAAATTAGAAATAATTTCTCTAGCCTCAACACGAGTTTCCGGTTTGAATCCTTTTATAAATATTGTAGTGATTCAAGTGGGGTTCCTCAAGGGTCGGTACTTGGAGCATTACTATTTGTGGTGTACATCAATGACCTTACTATGAACGTCAGAAGTAATTGTAAATTATATGCAGATGACACAAAGATTATCAAATTAATAGAAGATGATAAAATTAATACTAATTTACAGAATCATTTGGATGAAATGTTTAATTGGTCAGTGGCAGGTGAAATTCTAAACTGAAAAACGTAAAATAATGCATATTGGTAGGAATAGCCCTAGATTTAATTACTATATGTATATTGATAGAAAGAAAAAATAAAATAAAATGAAACTGAACTTGAAAAAGACTTGGGTATTTATGTGTCAAATGATCTGAAAAGGAGCATGTCTATTTATGCAGTTTGGGAAAGCAAACAGAAAACTAAGCATTATTAGAAAGTCTTTTCAGTTTCTAGACGAAAAATCACAAACTGTTAAGTTATAAAAATTTTCTTATTATTTATTAATAAATTCAGTGTCAGCTTGTCAAGGTGCGCGTGTGTTTGCAGAACTTTAATAATTTCTATTCTATTATGTATTGTAAGTTGTGTTTTTGTTGAGTGTCTGATTACAGAACTATGAACATTTTTCTTATTATGTATTGATGCGGTAAGATGTGTTTGCAATGTGTTTGTGTTATGTGTATGTGACTCACATTTATTATAAGCAAAATTCTAATTAATTTTTCAACGGATAAGAAAGTGAAATTTAGTATTTCATTTTAATCGACGTTTAAATTACATCTGAACATGTAAGAAACTTTAAAATATAGGATTATTTGATCAAGCTGTAACATTATGCAATCATAAACGTTCGATTAAGTTATTATCTAATCATGCTGTGTCATTATTATGCAATAATTAATGTGTATGAGTGAGGATAAATGAGTGTGAGTGAATATGAATATGTGTTAATGTGTATGATTGTATGATGGTGCGGGCTTCAAACGGGTTGACTATGCTGGGGGCAGAGATGAAAAATGAACTCCCATCTCTAAAAAAAAATGCTCCCATTGGCGCTAGGTATCTAACTTTAGTCAATAAAGTCCTACTTCTGGCCTTCACGTGGCCACAGGTTGGTGATACTACTGGGAGAGCACGTAGCGACCTTGGTGTGATGGTCGCTCGTTACTGAGTGCTACAGTGACGTTTGGTCTTGCCTTGACGACAAAGCAGTCCTATTTAGGTAAGCACTGCTTTTTCCAATTAGAGTGGGGACTTGAAAATGTGTCCTGAAAAAGCTAGCCTAACAAAACTGTCTTGTTATTTGACCGCGGCTGATTGGATATTTATTCTCTGAGGCAGAAATATTTATAAATCCAAAAGAAAAATACTGAATCTTGCGTCATGGAACGTTCGCGCAAATTTGTGGAGAGCAATGATTGGCATAAACGTAGGACCACTATCTTAGCGCGTGAGTTTGATAGTTTTGAAATAGATGTTGCTGCACTGAATGAAAAAACACTATACGATGCTACCCAATTTAAAGAATAAAGTGCCGGATTGCTACGTTGGTCAGCTGATATGCGCTCACACTGAGAGCATTGGAAGAAGAGAAGGATCGTTTCTATAAACAGCTCAACATTGCTGTAAACGCGACGCCCTTAAAACATCATGGTTTTGTGCTGGGCGACATCAACACACGAGTGAGTGTATATCACGACATATGGCGTGGGGTGCTGAAGCAAAATGAGGTTGCTAAAGAAAACTCCAAAAAAATAGGTTTTTTTTAGTTTGGCGTAATGTAAATACTAGTGGTGACAAATATGGTCTTCTAACAGTCAAATGAGCTGTAAACAATATGGATACATCCATGAGGGACCTAGCACCTGATCACTTACGTCATCACTAGAAAAACAAATCAATTCAAGAATTTCTCAGTTGCACTTTATGTACCGAAATAGCTAACGATCCTGATTTTGATTGACCGCATTTCCAAACGGTCATTAAAAAAGTTGCAAAAAACGTGATCGGACACCTCCTGTGGTTCGTAGATTGCTGAATGTTGTGCTCAGAATACATCTTGCTTAGATAAATGACAAAAGCAATGATGCAAAAAGGTAGCCTACTCACAATCACATGCACAAAGTCTTTCGTAAAAGAAGCTGCGCAGAACAATAGAGTTATGGTGGACTGCGAAGGCTGATAAATTACAAGTGGCTGCTAAATATGGTGATTTTAAACTGTTTTATAAAAGCTTCAAAATGGCATATGGTCCACGTGATTTGAGCAGTGTACCATTACTTTTACGGAATAGTACATCATGATAAAGGATGGCCCTGGCGTCTTGGCCTGTTAGGCAGAGCATTTCTACAAAGTACTAAACTAAAAAACCTTCTTTGATAACGCGGTTCTTTTGAGCTGCCAGATTGGAAACCTAATTATGATCTTGAGGTTCTTCCTAGTTTGCAGGAAGTTGATAAATTAATATATAGGTTGTAAGCTGGAAAAGCGCCCAGTTTGGACAGTTTGCCCGCAGAGTTGTTTAAACAGAAGTTGTTAAAGCTTTTTAAATGCATGTGAGTAAAATGGTTGACTACTTAGAAATAAAAAATGCTCTGATTGTTTATACATTTAAAAGAAAAGGTGATCGATCAAACTGTGACGACCCCAGAAAAATCTCTCTACTCTCTATACTTGGAAAGATACTAGCAAAAGTGATTGCTAACCGTTTGACTTTCTGGCGTGTCAACGATCTAAAAATTTTCCAAAAGGTCAATGTGGATTTGGAGCCTGACGCAGCACTACTGATATGATAATCACTGCAAGACAACTGCAAGAAAACTGATGAGCAACAATGAGGGTTATACATGGTTTTCATTGATCCTACAAAAGCTTTTGATTCAATTGATAGGTAAATTAGCCATTTGGCGCTGCTTGTCAAAAATTGCCTACTTGAAAGCAAGTGTGATTGAAAATGGTGAATATTCACTATTGCCATTGAGGCATAAACCTGTGTTGCTTTGGTGTATACTGAGGTTTAAAATTCATTTTGTATTAGTACGTTTAAAAATGATATTTTATTGTTAGTTGGATTTTCCATTGTAAAATTTAATTTTGACGAGTTTGTCAACCGCTTTCAAACAGTATGAAAAAAATCATGAAAAGTATCATAAAAAATAATGTCCCAGCAACTAACGAAAAAATAGTATTAAAATGCGAATATACTACACCAAACAAAAGAACGTCATCTCTTGTGATGAAAAACAACTGCACTAGTAAACCAGAATCGATAATGGATCATAGTCATCTATGTTCAAATGTAATATTAGTGAGTTTGGGCACCATAATTCTGAATATATTGGTATGACGACGAACAAGTTATCGAGAAGACTCACGATGCATGTACAAACTGGCGCTATAAACAATCACATGAAAGAAAATCACAAAAGTAAAATTACTAGACAAAGCTTGGACCACAATGTTGAAATCTTACATTATAAAAACAACCATTATAATTTACGACTAGCCGAATCAATACCCATAGAACAAAGACATCCAATAATAAATATTCAACAATGTGCAATTGGAACATCAGCAAAACCAAAGCAATGAACAATCTACAGCTACTGGACGATGGCCCTGTTCAGTTTGTAAAGCTGGTGTAGGTAGCAATTCAATCAAGTGTCAGCAGTGTAACCAGTAGTGTCACAAACGTTGTTCAAAAATAGTTGGTACGTTATCTAAAGTGTCCAATTTTGTTTGTCCTGCTTGCATTAATCCACAACAACAAATTCGAAATAGCAATGTTTTTGAAGCCATTAGGGTAGAAAAAGTCACATCGTTTCAATATCTAGGGGATGTTCTGGATTGTACTGGAACAGCTGAAGCTGCCGTTCGAGCACGAATACGTGCAGCCTGGAATAAATGGCATCTCCTTGCCTCTATATTGATGCGGCGTGACATCCCACTACCATTACGATCAAGACTTTATAAATCTGTGATACGTCCGGTGTTGTTATATGGTGCAGAAACATGGCCAATGACAACCAAACTGGAACAACAACTTCAACGAACCGACATGAAAATGCTTCGATGGATGCAACGAATTAGTCTGAAATCCTGCGTCGTGCTGGTTTAGACGAATGCCGGCAACACCGTTTGCAGCGGTTTGGTCATGTCAAACGAAGTGGAAACAGTGCCATAACTTTTCTTGCAGATGTTGAAGTACCTGGCACACGTCCCAAAAGCCGTCCAAAGAAGTCCTGGTCGCAAACAATCGAGCAAGACATGAAAGCTCTAAATTTAAATGAAATGGATACAACTTATCGTCTGATTTTGAGTCAACTTATCGACTTACAACTTATCGTCTTACTTACTTACAACTTACAACTTATCGTCTGATTTTAAAGTTGATGGCTAAGAAAACAACGTCCTACCTCGGGAAACTGGGTCTCTGGACGATAAACAAAGATTGATTGATTGAATGTGCAATTGGAATTCTATCTACAAATAAATTTAGAAACAGATGAATCCTCGATAATGAAAACACGTAAAAGTGTTATATTTAACGAAGTTGAAGATTGTAAACTAATTAAATGAGCGTTAAACAAAGAATCAACAAAGTAGAGTAGAGGCATAGTGTATATATATATTTGAGTATCAATTCAGGTAATGAGTTTCTTATAAGTTCATATTCATTAGCGTAGCCATGATAATTTTGTTTACCTATGAATTTTAAACTTTCAGAAATTTAAATGGGCAGCTTGAAAAAGTTATGATATGAATAAATATAGGTATTCTGGAATTTTTTCAATAAGATTAAAATGTTAGAACTTTAATTTTTTTAATAATACGAATAAAACCAGTACAGCATGGGAAGGAGAATGGATAAACTAGATGGTCTATAATTTTTTATTGGAAGAGCCGGGATGTTTTATACAAGAGAAATGCAGTAGTCTAATTTTGATAGAATTGAGCATCTATCAATCGTCCAAATCCAAATGTACAAACAAGATTCATCATTTGTAATCATGGGTGTAAATTGTTTAGAAATTTAAAAAATGTTGTTTGTTTACTGTCAAGGTCAACAACGAAAAAATTATTTAAATTATTTAAAATGGTGTAAACACAAATTTTCGCCAAAATATTGTGTTCGTCGGTGCAAATTTCAATTTCAAAATTTATATGTAAAAAAATTTTTTACAAGTTAAATAATAATTAATTATATACTAAAGGAAAGTTTTGCATTTAAGAGTGAATTAAAAATAGTTTGCAAATTAAAAACTTGCGCCTTATATTAATTAAAACATACTAATTCGACGTATATATCTTACAATTATGGCTTTTGTCGCGAGCAAATAAATTTCTAATTTTTAATTTATTTTTGAAAAATTACTGGCTTTGCTTTGTTATTAAAATATAACTTTTAAGCTCTGTCTACAGGTTTTATTTCTTTTATTTCATACAGTATCTCGTATCAGCTGTGGCTTATAAGTCTTACGTTTATATTATATGAAAGAAAAAACAAAAAAAACTCCAAAGTTTAATTTTTCTAAAAATTTGTTAAATTTTGTTTTTAAAATTTGAAACAAAAATATGAGTAAGTTGCATCATAATCCAAAATCAGTCAAATATTTACCTCACCACAATATGAAAAAAATCAATATTAAATAAAGCAAAATTGAATATTTAAAAAAATTCGTGTTCTATTTATTGTTTCATTTCATTTTTCACATTGATACCATCTTTTAATACCACTATTTAACTTTAATTCTTTCAATTATTTTTTGTTACAGATTCGAACAGCGAATGATTGTAGACAACAATTATGAAAAAAAAGCAATCGTAAGAATTAATATGTAGTGTAGACAAAATTTTTTCCAATGTAATTTAATTCATGAAAATATATAAATGTCGATATTTTTCATAAAAAATATTCAATTATGGCCAAATTTTTTATGAAAATCTTTGTAAAAAATGTTTTTTACTGCGTTAGTATTTTTACGTAGTTGTTGTTTATTCGATCTCGAATAAAACTGATAAAAATTAAGATATATAATTATATCACACTTTAATAATATCTAAAAAGAGTAAAGATGTCTTTTGTTTTATCATTGAAAACGATCCTGTTAACAACAACCTTTTTGAAGATTTCGCTGAAACAAACTTTGCAAATGAGTTGGTGTTTTATACATTTATTATTTAATAACTTTATTTTTTAATATTTATTTATATTTTATTTGATACAACTGGCTAGAGAGCCACAACGAACCACTTTACCAGCAAGAAAAAAAATCAAACTTATTTAAACAATACTGAATGGCAAATAAAATCAAAAAACAAAAACGTTAAAGAGAAAAAATGTGACAATAATTTCTATTATTGACACACAAATTTACATACCTACGGAGAGTTAAATAGTCAATAGACAATAAAGTTCAACGGTAAGAGGTGACTTAGCGATGTACATTGACACAAATAGTTTGGAACAACGGAAATACATACAGCGCTAATTGACATTACTGAGATAAGATACTAAAAAAAGAGAAATACAAAACAATGTTTGAACAATGAGATTAATTAAAATAGTAAATATATGTAATCAATAATACATCAATTGAAACATTTATACATATACATCCATTCACATACATACATACATACATTGTACCGGTCTCCGCACAGGTTGGCAGATTTAGATTTTAAGTTACAAATTCGTATTTAAAGTTATATATTCATATTTATTTTAATTTAATTAATTTTAATTATTTATTTGTATTTAATCTTAGGTTATACATTTGTGTTTAATTTTAGGTTATAAAATATTTTTAAGTAATATAATTTAATTCCTTTTCTCTGGAACTCTCTACCTACTTCTCTAACTATTTCTCCATCACTTGCGAAGTTCAGAGCGGATCTCAAGACCCATCTGTTTTCAAAATTCATTGAGGAGCGCTGTTGAACATCGCGGAAATAGCGCTTTATAAGCTAATTGATTGATTGATTGATTGATTGATAAGCGGCACAGAGGTACATGGTTTTAAAGTTCTTTTTCTACAAGTTTTTATGTTAAAAGCCATATGTACAGTTTACAATAATAATAACAGTTTGCGTTGTTGGTTTCTGAATGTCGAGTCAAGGACATGTACCCAGCACGACTTCTCTCACTCTGTGCCATGTGTGTTATAAACATTTTAAGTTGAGGCAAGATGGTACTCTCGTTAGAGGCTCAGAATGTTCGAAATCTTTGAAGCACCCACCTTTGAACAGGAAACGAAGGTCGCTCAATGTCGTCAACGCAGACATCTCAAAGACAAGTGAAGACTCAAGGGTTCTTGATACTGCTGTCGATATGAAGAGTAAATTGTCACTGGCTGACAATTTTTTTTAAAAAATCATCTGGCTGTCGGTTGATTGACCATGTGCCCAAGCAATCGCGTGGTAAGTTTGGCCGGGTGCTGAATGATATTTTGAAAAACATCTGCGATAACCCATCAAATGCCACTCTCTGGTTCAGGTTACTATTTATTCCTTGCTTGATTATCCGAAAGGAGCTTTGAGGTGGTGGACGAAACAACATCAGCGCAAAAATTAATAGCAGATTAGATGCCTTTAGCAAATGCTCATTGGAAGAGTTGGTAAAATCTGTCGAACCAATTGTAAAGGAGCAGGGTGAAAGAGTTGGTAAACCAAAGCTTAGTGCTTTAGTCAGATGCAAAATAGAACAGGGAAACGTTAGAAATGCTATGAGGATTTTAGCATCGACGGATACGATGGCTCCGGATTCGGCAGACACTATCAACTCCCTAAAGAACAAGCATCCTCCCTCTCCGTTAGACAGAAAACCAAGTCCCAATGAAGAATCGATAAGTGTTACTGTTAATCCTTAACAAATTATGTTGTGCTTGAGGCAGTTTCCAAAAGAAACCTCAGGAGGTAGAGACGGTCTAACTCCACAGCACTTAAGGAATTTAACACATGATAAGATAAAAACAACAGAACTCATCAGTGCCTTGACCGGTTTTATCAATCTGCTGTTGGGCGGCGTTTGTCCACCCAAAATGGTTCCATACTTGTTGGGCGGGAAATTGGTGGCCTTGTCAAAGAAGAACGGTGGTGTCAGACCTATTGCCATTGGATGTGTATGGAGACGCTGGGCTGCAAAATGTGCGTTATTGGTCATCAAGGACAAGGTGGGTCCAATTCTCCAACCTCAGCAGGTCGGTGTTGTGATTAGCGGTGGAGCAGAAGGAGCGATATACGCTGTCAGGCGATTTGTCAATAATATGAAGGAAGATGAAGGCTTTCTAAAACTTGATTTTTCAAATGCTTTCAATTCGATTCGTCGTGACCATATGCTTCAATGCGTCAAATCTCGGCTCTCAGAAATTTTCAATTTTTGCTGGTTAGCGTACGATGCTGATTCATTTCTGTCTCTTGGTAACAGCATCATTTTTTCATCAGAAGGTGTGCAACAAGGAGATCCCTTGGGACCGTTGCTTTTTTCGCTGTCGATCGATCCACTGGTGAAGGCATTTCGATCTAAATTTGTTGTCGCATACTTAGATGATATTGCGTTGGGTGGATGTATAAAGGACGTAATGGATGATGTGAAATTGATAAACAGTAATGGTCGTGAATATGGTCTCAAGTTGAATTTAAAAAAATGTGAAATTACTGCAAATTCAACAGCTTTATCTTTCGCCCAAACAAATATTGAAAGAATTGAGATGAATGACCTAGAATTTTTGGGTTCGATAGTTTGTAGAGGAAAACGCTATGAAAATTTTTGGTCTAAAAAGCTGGAAGATTTTAAACATATTATGTCAATGATGACGGAGATTGGCAAGCATGATGCCCTTGTCCTGTTGATGCAAGCAGCATTCATTCCAAGGCTGTCATATTTTTTACGTACCTCTCCTGGCCCGTCTCAGCAAACGTCAGATGAATTCAACAACAAACTGCGCATGGGTTTTCAGACTATATTTAATGTGTTTTTTGATGATAAAGGTTGGAGGCAGGCTACATTGCCGGTCAATATGGGTGGACTGGGTTTGGGTTGGCACCATCAGCATTTTTGTCATCGGCCGCGGCCACGGCAGCCCTCTAGGAAAAGATCTTACCAATGGATGTAGCATACCAGGATGATTTGAGACTTGAAACATTTTAAGGCTGGTGCATGGTTTACGGGGATATAATGAACATAAATGTGTGTTTGCGGAAGAAATGGAATGAACCATCTTTGAATAATTCAAAATCGAAACTAGATGAATTAAATGACTTTCCCTCAGATAAAGCCAGGTTGATGGCCGTTAGAAGTGAATTGGGGTCTGCTTGGCTAAGGGCCATTCCCAGTACAGCTTGTAGTTCAAGGCTTTACAATGGTTCTATTAGACTGAGTTTATGCTTAAGACTTGGGTTGCCGGTGGTGTCAGGTTACAGATGCTTGTGTGGGGCGGATGTTTTTCAGTTGGGTCACCATGGTTTATTGTGTAGGCTTGGTTCAGGAAGACAAGAAAGACACTCTGCCATGAATAATTATATATGCAGATTGTTCCAGAAAGCAGATATACCTACCATTAAAGAACCAGCAGGCCTACTATCTGAAAGTAATTTCAGGCCAGATAATTACACCCTGGTACCGTGGTCCCAAGGTTGTTTATCATGGGATGTGACGTTCCCTCACACGTTAGCCGAAAGGTACATCAATTACACGGCTATGGAGCAAGGTTCCGCTGCGGTGAAGGCTGCTGATTTCAAGAATACTAAGTACAAAGATCTAAGCGACAATACGAGAGTTTTCGTTCCGATCTGTGTGGAGACATTTGGCCCAGTTGATAAGCAGACACAATTATTTTTTGATAACATAGGTACTAAAATAGTTGAAAAATCCGGTGATCCCAATGATAAAATTTATATAAAGCAAAATATATCTTTGTTGTTGCAAAAGTTTAATTCATTTTGTATTTTAGAGAACATTGCTAAGTGCCCTTCTGTGCGAGACCCTGTACACTAATATTATCTGTTGAGCAGGGGCGAAATGATAGTTTTAATGGCTATTTTTATGCTAAGTGCCCTTCTGTGCGAGACCCTGTACACTAATATTATCTGTTGAGCAGGGGCGAAATGATAGTTTTAACGGCTATTGTTTTTAACCATGGGCTCGCACATTCACTTAATGCGAACCCTTACAAACATACGAAAAAACTAGACAAATACATTTACTTATGAACTGGATATAACCACCAACGTACACGCACACACCACGCACACACATACAACCGAAAGTGTGCGTTGTGTAACAGAAGTTCACTTGATTAAAAATTAAAGATAAAAAAGCAAATATACATACATATATACTTATATATAATAAAATCGTGGCCAACATGTAAGCTTGTCTATGCCATTTATAAATAGCGCGGCAGTGCATAAATAAAAACAAAAGCTGCTATCGGATAATGTTATAATCTTCTTACAATGTCGTTAGATTTTTGCAATAGCTTGTCAAAACATTTCATCGTATGCTCGTTCGATTGTTCTAAAATTTTGGTCACAATGTATTTGAGTGACTCAACGGGAATAGTTTTATTAGCCATAGAAGCAACAACACAAACAACGTATCACGTGTGTAACAATAACGCGGAATATGGTAAAAGATGAAATTTGCTGAAACTAACAGTTTTAAATTAAATTTCCTTAATAAATTATAGTGTGATTATATACAAGAATGACGTAAATTATTCATGAAAACTAGTATTGTAACTTAGAACAAAACAATTTGAAGCTAACAGTTTTGTTTACAGCTATCCGCCATTAAATCAAAAGAGATTTTTTTTAAATTTTTTTTAAGTTTTTAACTATGTTTTGAAGATGTATTATAAATATTGTAATTGTAACCAGGGAATTTTAACCTGTATTGCCTTATCGTATCCCTCCCATAGTACTCTCCACTAGAAACAAGAAAAGCAATGACATCACAGATGCTGAGGGACTCCAGTAGGAGATCAGCGTAAAGATATAGTATACAGATATAATTGCTTCCGGGTCAACGTTCAGACCAAACGCTTCATTTTACTTCCTATTTTAACGGTCATAACCAGCCACAATAACCAATTATTATAAATTGTTATATTTGACAGAAAAAAATTCATGTTTGCTTAAGTAATATAATCACGAAAAATCAAAGCATGTAGACCCTAAATATAAATTTTGTTACAAATACTGAAAATTTTAACTTTTTAATAGACTTAGAATGTTCATATATAGGAACAATTTTTCTTTCGAATTATGAATTTTAAATTCATTGAAATAAAATTTTTCAATAAGTTAAAATAAAATATTATATAAATCATGATTTATTCAATTAACTAAGTTTTTCAGCTAAATTGCTTATAGCTTAACTTATATGGTGTAGGAATCACTCTGAATCGGAGGTTTTTGCCGGAGACGGAATTCTTTATTTTTCATCAGACTCAAAAAAGCGTTATAATAGTGATAATAGATGTTTGAAAACGCTCTGTGCAACTATTTTCATTTTTGATAAAACAAATTATAAAATTTTAAATTATTTTTTTGAACTCAACAGAATAAAATAATTATTAAATTTGGTCAATCGAATAACCTTTACTTTTTAAAATATTATAAAATATTGTTGTAACTTGCACTATCATCAAGTTATTCGACCTTCCGAAGGTTCAGTGATTTTTGACAGATAAAAACAACTGCTTCAGACACAAAATTGTTTAAAGTTTATTATAATGTCAATAGTAATAGAAACACTTAGTTATTCACTGATCCAAGAAAAATTTTCATTGTCGCACGATAGCCTATAATTCAAATTAATTATTTAGCGCAATTATCAAAACAGAATATCAACAATTGCAGCGGTTATAACATTACCCCCACCTCAGCCTGTTAGTCCCTAACACAAACTTTTCTTTCCTCGATGAATAAGAGGAGACTAACCTATTCAAAAGGACAATTTTCATTTTTGCCAGCTGTCTTTTATGATCTTGCCTTCTGTAGACCACAACCACACCAGGTCATTGCTTTTGAGTCATGACGGGTTTTCGTTGTTCAGGTTACTTTGGCTATAAAGGTTAAAATGTTAAAGGTTACTCTCTCCCTCTTTCGGGCTTGCTTCAGAGGTCAAACACACACAGCGTATATGAATACGCGTGAAAAAAACGCATCATATACATTGCATAAAATAGGTGGGGGTCTTTTTGTATTCGAACCCAGTCACTGCAGCAGCAAGACCAGGCGCTTTTAACCATTGAGCCATCACGCCACCCTATAGGTCCTTTATATGTCTTGGTCCTTTCTCGATTTTGTTGGCGCTGGAAGCAAATGCTTTTTTTTATTGAGTTTACGATGTGTAGAATGACCAGACGGATAGCTTAGATGCATGTTGTAATATATTTTGTTGGCATCTTCCTTGTCAATCAGTGTTGGAGCAAGAAAGCCGTTGTTGAAGTTATCATTCAAATAGAAGAGGAACGTTACCACCAGAAATAAAACAACAATCAACAAAAATTGAACAGACAAAAGATTAACAAATTGATTCGAAAATTGAACAAACGAAAAATCAAATTGATGCAAAAATTAAACAACAATCAGCAGAAATAAAACAGAGGGGAGATCAAATTGATGAAAAAATCGAACAACAGTCGGCCGCGGTTGATGCCAAAATTATGCAACAGTTGTGAGTACTCAGAGAACAATTCGATGTCAGAGCTGAACAGCAATTGGCCGTAATCAAAAAATCAGATGATGAGAATGGAAGACATCACGTCAAAAATTGAACAGAAATTTGATCAAAGGGTTATCGGGCTCGAACAATGTGGATAAACTTAAAAAAGAACTGGAAACAACTAAAAAAATAAATTTCACACCTGCAAGCCACGTTACCGCAAAGACATTGAAAGCGCCAGCATTTGATGGAGAAACTTCTTGAAACATGGAAAAGGGAGTGCAGACGGAGGATGTAATTAAAGTTGCAATTGAACGACATCACCTACCGAATTCAAGAACATCGGAAGCCGCGAGAGAAAATGAAAATTATTCATTTGGACGGACTGGCTCTATTCAATACAAACGTTCCAACGAACAAAACTGAAAGAGGGGAAGTGTTATAACCGTCAAAAATATATTCACTATAGGGCTAGTGTTGCTACTAACGCATACAGTTCGAGATGGGGCTAGAACCTTTCAATTCAATATTCAATAGTGAGTTTATTCAGCAAAAAAGCTAGGAGACCCGAAGATATGACCATAAAATTTGCACCATAAATTATAAATATAAAAAACGTGTACAATTTACAATGAAATAATGATAGTTCTATAAATAAAAAGAAAATATAAATAATTGAAATATTTAAGTATTAAACCATCTTAAAATTGAATAAATACAAAGTATATAACGGGAAACAATCGAATCAACAGAGGACATGGACACGGATTAATAAATACATAAACCTTATCAGGAGGTAAAAAAGAACACACATTATTTAAGTCATTCAACAAATTACTGTCAGGATCAACATCATCAAGCAGACAAGGTTTAACATCATTATTGTCAGGCAAGTTTTTAACAGTTTGTTGATTATTATCGTTAAAAAAAACACCATTCGTGTAAAATCACATTACTCAGCCAATTTTTTTCTTATCAAGATCACTTTCAAAAAATAAAATTCTAAAAGCCGCACTAGTTTTAAGAATTGCATTTAGTGAAGGGGTTGTTGGTACGAGCGTTCTGCTACTAACAAGACACCTTGTTGTGAAGTAAAATAAACAAAACAAACACAATTCAGGCGTAAAAAAATGTTAACTTTATTCTAGCGTGAATCTCGAACCGTCTCGTTTACAAGCTCCCAGGAAAAAAGAAAGAAGGTCGAGAGAGAAGCAGAGAAATAAAAATTAAAATAGATTAGGTAACATTGAAAATTGCAATAATCTTTAATAATAATTAATATATAAGAAAGTTAATAAATGAATGTTTGATCCCTACAGTACTCCCCTACAAAAGGAGGAGCCGCTTAAAAAAATATTCCTTTCGTTTGTTGAATGTTATTCGTCTTCTTTTTCTGGAGTGTTGGGTTGTTGGTTCCGATGTGGTTGATCAAGTCGATTTTTATTCCCAGTAATAATAAGTTGGTTCCTGTTACTGCTATTGCTGGGGATATTCCATTTTCATCTGGTATGGTTCTAAGTCCTAAAAGAACGAGAGCTGGTGCATCTAACCAGTTTTGTTTACGACAAATAATTGCTGTTTTTAAGGTACGATGGTAAAATCCAATTATTTTTGATTGTTCGTTAAATAATTCGGTTTCAAATTGCGTACTTCGGTCTGTTACAACATAAAGAAAGACACCGAATCGAGCGATCCAAATGTTCAAAAAAGTTGTAGCAACTATTGAAACTGATATGTCTGTCATTGAAGCTGCTCGATCCAACCAGTTGTCCTGTTAATGCATGTGAGTAAATATCTGAATGGACTTGAATAGCATTTCCTTGCTTGACTGGTGGTAACGGGCCTACAATATCAATATGAACAGTCTCAAAACGTGAAGACGGTAAATTGAATGACGATATCGTAGATTTCGTGTGTCGGTGAATGTTGTTTTGTTGACAGCTTAACCATGTTCTTATTCGTTTGTCTATATCTGGCCACAAATATCTTGATTTGATTAATCGTATTGATGTTTTGATACCTGGATGTGAGATGTTATGAAGACTGTCAAATATGGCTTTTCTCAAATTAACTGGGATGTATGGTCTGGGGTATGGTGTTGATACATCACAAAAAATGTTTTTGTTATCGCCAATTGGATATTGTTTCAACTGATTCTTGAATGATTTTATTTCATCATCAATTTCTTGTTGCTCGGCTATCGACGACTAGTCACAGACGTCTATCTTAACAGAATTTGCTGGCCAAAAGAGACAATTTGCAACAAAGTTTTCTTCACCGCGGATATAAATGACGTCTGCAATGTATTCGGATATCATTGAAAGATATCGTTTTTGAACGTCTGACTTTAATGGTGTTTTCTTTTTGTAGGCAGCGCATAATGTTTTGTGATCTGTAAATAGAGTTACATTTTTTCCTTCAATCTGATGTTTGAAATGGATGACGGCAAGGTACGCTGCTAATTAGTTCTTTGTCGAATGTAGAAAGGTTACGATGTGGTTCAGTTAACTTTTTTAATAGTTAATAAGTGAATGTTTGATCCCTACAGAGTGTTATTGTTAATGTTACTTTTTTTGTTGAAAACGGATTTTGAGAGGGACATGTTGAGGAATGTTCGATCTAATATTATTTCGCTATTGTTGTCGGATTACAAATCGGACAATTTAAAACGAATAGAAATAATTTTATATTATTAACCGAACAAACGTAACGATCTCGTACTAAAGTAAAAAGGGAAGAGGAAAAGTAAAGCAAAAAAGTAGTAGTAATAATAAATTAAATTAAAACATAGATATTAATATTAATAATAAAACTAATTAAAAATGTCAAATGTTTATAATAACTGTATATATCTAATCCCCTACAATACTCCCCCGGAAGAGGCGGAGCCATTCAAATCAAAAAATGTTTGTTTTTTGTGTTGAATTTGATTTTTCCACTCTTCTTTGAAGATGTGGTGGTTGGTACTGATATCGCTGGCGTTGAACTTGTTTCTCGTAATGATGTTGCTTTTGTCGCTGATAATGTGGTCAACGGTTCTGCTGTGGCTGACATTTGTCTTGTTACATGAGATTTTGATGGTGTTGTTGGTGATGACGTTGTTGCTGAAAACGCAGTTGCCGTTTTGGTTGCTGGTTCGAATTTTGCTCTGGCCTCTCATGCAACCTTCTGTCCAGCTGCAAACGATTTCTAGAATAAGATGTGTGTGATGACAATGAACTATGCTATGCTTTTTTCTTTTTGTGCTGATCTTGTTGAGGTTGCTGTTGAACAGAAGGAAAAGAGAGAACTGGAAGGAGAGAATCATTCCTGCGTGAATTTGGTGATGGGATGGTAACATTCTGCTCAGCATTTTGCTGTTGTGATTGTTGGATGTCATTTTTATCTTCGTTCTTGCTCAGGACGACTTTTATTTTATTGGACTCTTCTGGTAGCTGCTTCTTTCCAATTTTGTTTACATTCATCAGATTCAAATTTATTTTAAGAGGTTTTTTTTGGAACTGGTTGGCACACATTGGTTCGTTTTCACCCGTGTCAATGGTGTGCTTGACCGTTGAAGTACTTTCGACTTGTTTTTCATTTTCTGGATATATCATCTGGAGTACTGGGGGTTCATTGATGTAAATCGTTTGTCGAACAAGTTTCATTGGTTATCGAGCCGATTAATTTGTGGTCGGTGCAGTCAACGTTCATCAGGGTGTTTTTGCGGTCATTTGCAGTATCATTTTTAATATGTTTTTCCACAGTTAAATTTCCCAGTTGCAGGTAAAAATTTTTTTGAGCAGCCATAACCTGTGAAATTGATGAATTGAAATTGCAGTAGAAATTGCTGTAGAAATTGCTGTAAAAATTGCTCTGGTTTGGTTTGTTTGAACGTTAATAATATTTCTGCTTTTAGAGCGTCGTAATCTGTTCTTTTTTGCACTTTTAATGACAAATTTGAGACTACATCTAACGGCAGGGAAATTATTACGTGATAGAACCTTGTCGTTTTACATATCACGTTTCGCAATTGAAATTGCATTTCTCGAACCAATCTGTTGACGCTTTTTTTTTGAAAAGAGGTAATATGGCGATCGGGTCATCATTTAATTGGAACATTTTGTTTTCTGTTTTTATCTAACCACGTGGATCTTCGTATTTCTTTTTACGTAGGATTTTCTTCGTTCGAATCACGTCGGGGTTAACCAATTGTTGAGGAACGTTTGATTTAATATTATTTCGCTATTGTTGTCGGATTATAAATCGGACAATTTAAAACGAAAAGATATAATTTTATATTATTAACCAAACAAACGTAATAATCTGGTACTAACGTAAAAAGGGAAGAGGAAAAGTAAAGCCAAGTAGTTGTAGTGATAATGATAAATTAAATTAAAACATAGATATTAATAATAATAATAAAACTAATTAAAAATGTTAAATATTTAAAATAACTGTATATAACTAATCCCCTACAGACATATAATATAGCAGAAACATCGATTGACTTTTATTATATAAAAATTTAAATATTTTATGACATCTTCTACGGTACATTGATCCAATTTACCGACGTAAACTATTTTTTTACGTGGCTCCACCTTCATTGGTTTTAAATTGGAAGAATTACCTGTCTTTTTACTAATAACTTTTTTCATCTGCTCTATTTTCTGCTTGTGTTGAACATGTGTATGAGGATCTGATTTAGCGACAACTACAGGAAGAGTTCTTAATTTAGGTTTGGTCTTACTACGCTGCACCAGTTTAAAATTGTCATCATTTATATTATGTAGGCATTAGACTTGTATATTAGACTTTCTTGATCGCATCCAATAAATATAAGAACAAGTATCTAGTTTTGATATATTTTGTTTGTAGGCAAAATATGCAGTTACAAAAACGTGCATATTGCTTGTAATCAGTTTTTTACCCGTAAATAGATGAAATGAAGTTGAATCTGTTCTGGAATTATAACAACGATTTCTGATGTACGATGCAAAATACCATAATTCTATTGGCAAATTTGCATTTAAAAGAAAACCACAAGTCGTGTCGAATAATGTGCGCCATCCTCTTTCAGTCTCACCATTTTGATTTGCACTTAAAATGGTTAATAGATAGGAAACCATTAGTCAGATAGACAGAATGACATCAAGTTAAAACAAATAATCAAATATTTTAGTATGGGTAGTGTGGCGTCGTGTAACTGTTCTAAAACTAAACGAAAATTATGATTTTACGAAATTTTTCTAAATTAACATCATAATTATTTTTTGAATATTGTTTGTTGTGTTATAACTGTCCCGTTTTATCTCAGTGAAAAATAGTGACAGGAAATAACTTCCAAATTATCGATTTAATTATTTACAAAACAATACTTAATTAATTAATTAGTCAATAATCAACGCTAATTAATTTTACTAATAGAAGTTAATGTTCACAAACTATCAAATTATGTTCAGAAACTATCGCTTTCCGAATAACAATTTACTAAAGTTTATCGCAATACAATAAAAATCTAACGCAGAGTCAAATATCAAATATCGCTTTCAACACTAACTGAACTATCAATCGCTTTCTAATATCGAATATTCAATAACCCATTCAATATCTCGCATGTCTTTATTTACACGTTTTATCGACAATTTTCGAACGTCCTAGATATCTCGCTGTTAGAAGGTTGTATTTCCTCCTTGAACTGTATGCGTCAGTAGCGACACTTGCGCCTTTAGCGAATATATTTGTGACGGTTATAACACTTGGCTAAATTTTTATTTAATTTAAATATCAAGTGAAACAAATTGGTAGTTTTATAATTTGCGCTTGAAAGTTATGTTCAAATTTTTTATCAATTTTAAAATAATGCAAAGCATATTTTTTAAATATAAATTTTGGTTTTATCAAAATATTTTTTTCAATACTCTGGTGGTATTAAGCAGATGTTACTTTGAGAAGCTCTTGCTTTTTAAAATGATCCGTGGTATGTTTAGAGTGATAGCGGCATGTTTTTTTTCGGTGGTTTAATAATTTGGGCGATTTTTTGATTTTTCTATTTGAATAAAGACCCATCTGTTTGTAAAATACACTGAGAAGCGCTGTTGAATATCGCGGAAATAGCGCTCTACAAGCTACTTGATTGATTGATTGATGATCAACATACATCTTCAAGGATGATTGTGTTTTGATTCAATTTCTTAAGATTGTTTTGGACCCTTCATTTTTTGTTGTTTCATTGTTTTAAACTAATACACTAAACATAAATTCCTGTTTAAAATTTCTCAGTTTTCTAATTTCTTAGACTAACTATTGAATGTTTTTCCATCTTTTTCTTCAATTAACATAACCACTAAGCATTTTCTGGATTGAATGAAAATCATAGAAATATTGTTTTTTATTCAATGACTTTTGCCAATATAAATGTGAAATAGTTTCTGTTGGAATTTGACAGCCATGAAATTTACGTCTTTGCAACGAACAGCCACAAACAATAAACTATGTACAAAGATGCAAAAAAATTATAATAATATTTTTCAGTATAATTGGAAACGTAAATATTATTATTATTGTAATTATAATTATTATTCTCTCATAGATATTTTTCAGTGGTTGAATGGAATATGGAATAGTTTTTTAAGAAAACAATTGTATTGATTGATTTTAAATGATTGATGTATCTAAGTAAAATTGGATAGCTAAAATTGAAATTTTTTTGGAAGTTGGAGTCGGGATTATGAAATTTTTACCCAGAGTTTGAGTTGGAAAATTTTAAATTATGGAGTCGGAATCAGATCCGACACCATGGTGTCCCTTGTGAATATTTTTAATTTAATTGCTAAAACGTATCTCAAATAGAAACAAAATTAACTTTTTTTGCTAAATTATAGTATTAATATTTCAGTGGTTCTTGTTAGAAAAAGTATTGTTGAACAGATCATTAAACAGTTTGCAGATGATTTTTTAATTAAACAAAATAGTAAAGTTAAAAGGTGTTTAATGAAGATATTACAAAACTTTAAATCTTTTCGCGTTGTTTGAAAGTTTTCTTGACACTATGAAGGGTACTACAAAAATATTTGCGTTTTAATAAAAAACATTTGATAGACTGGTTTTAAATAGTTCCTGACACCTTCGATCTGCCACTTATTTTGACCTTCATGTAATAATCATTATGGTATTAACAGCTTTTGCTAGCTTTTTTATAATAGATTTTCAATATTAACATTTGATTACAAAAGATTGTAAACTAAACAATGGTAACTGTAGTGAAATTTGTGTGGAAGAGGTGAATGGATCTGCTTTTGAATCTAAGTGTGTTCCGTATCAGCACACGTTAACAATCAGCCAAAATATTTACGGTATACATTTTTCTATTTTTTTTAAATTATAGTATAGCAATTAAAATGTGCGTTTGTCTGCTATTTATTTTTACGATATCGAGATTTGAGTAACTTTCAGATTATATTAATGTACTATACCATTAATGTGTAGAGCCATTGATATATTAGTCAACAACGAAATAATATTTTTGTGAAATTTAAAATATTTCTCAGTCGTTAACACTTTTTTTAGTAGTTATAAATATAAATGGTGTTTTATATGTTTCCAAACCAAACAACTATAAATAGCAATAAGGTGTGCTAAAAATATAGTTATATTTTATCATTTCTTTGATAAAAGTTACAACAAATGATAAATTATTGCAAAAGAAACAGAAAAATAGTATGACTCTGAATAGAAATTTTAAAATGCAAACATACAAATATTTTTGCAAAAAATTCTACCACAATTAAATAATAAAACCAGATTTTTTACGTTAAAAGAAAAAATATTCAAAAGATTAGGTAAGATTAGTTATAGGTAAAGATATTTTTATTTAATTTGTAAATGCTTGTTGCTATTAGAACACGAAGATAAAATACAAAATCTGGTATAAGAATAAATTTATAAAAATTATTTAAAACATTATGTTTATTTTTTATGTTTATTTTTATACAAGATATGGTTAAACAACGACAACAATTTTGTCAGATGTAGTCATAGGGGACTTGAGATACAAAAGATATTTTGTTATGGTCATCATTAGCTTTCAAAACTTTTATATAACGTTTTATGTTTAACTGTTGCAGCTTTTCAAATAGTAATATTTTTTAAACGTTATTAAACAACATAGAAAAAACAATTGATTATAAAATTTTGACTATTCTACTGCTAATAATTTATCATCAAATTGTTATTAGAATCTCCATTATAACCTTTTCTCCAAATCCCTTTTAGACTTATATTTGGGATGCTTTCAATACATAAAAGGCTCAAAACCTACCTTGGCTTCATCGGTCATAAAATGCATGAACGCTTGTTCAACAGAATTGTACGCCATGAAAGTATTACACACAACTGTTAATTTTAATATTTATTTTTGTTTTTTATTGAAATATTACTGTTGAAACTTATTGTTATGTATGTGCTTCATCAACTTTTTTAATTAATGAAATAAGCGAGAATTTTAATTAAAACTTACGTAAACCGCTCGCTCATTTAGAAATTTTTTGAATCAACAGCGATGAAAATTGAGGCCTTCGGTTACGGCTATGAGTGTGCTGTAAGATGCATTAAGGGGTTATATGAACAAACTTTTAAACATCGTGTTTACACTAAGTCAAATGTCAAACTCAATGAAACTCCGACGATTGAAACAATGGCAAGGGCTCTCTGAGAGTGGACCAAGAGCGAAAAGATGAGGAATAATGACATTATTTGATCAGCCTCCAATAATGTCATTATTTTTGAACATTGGTGGTTCACAAATCTGTCTGACTTCATCAAACTCATCAGTAGCTGATAACTTAATTGTTTCTTAACGTTATTCAAGAAACAACGATTACAAAAAGCAAATTGCAAGTTAAAGAATAAGAATAATTAAGAACCATTTGGAACTGTTTCCCCGACGTTTCCACGTTAATATGTTTTGACAATCATATGAACAACGTAAATATATTAATTTTTGTTTCTCGATTTTTTTGTAAAAATGTATCGTGCAATTATACTGTTTCTAAACCACCTCGACTGTCATATAAAGTCTAATTTCACTATTGGCAAAAATGAAAACTACAAAGTGAAGATGTCTCGTAAATGTTTCAATTTAACTGATTTCTACAAATCCAAACATGATCGTAATTGAGAAACATTTCAAATCAAATGCTTCACCGCAACTTACCAGGCAATGACAATTAATGACAACTAATGTTTATTTTACAAGAGACCAAAAACCAAGAATTATTTGGCGACCTATTTTTAGCTTATCACATAATTTTGTGTCTATTTACGTATTTAAAACAGGTATTTTTCGTGTTTAAAAATTGCTTCATTTTTATATAGAACTTAATTGAAAGTTGGCTAAACTTTCAAAAAATTGCAACAGAAAAAAAGTTGCTGACATGGCCCGGTAATGGCAAATAAATTTAATAAACATTTTAGCAATGTTTACAATCGATAGTGAAAGTAATTTTTCACTACCTTGTCGTACTACCAAAATCACCAAAAACTTTAAGCTACATACGATGTTTTTATATCACAATTATTAAAAACAATTTTAGTGAGACTGGACAGTATATGCAAATCCTACTCATTTTGGTACTTAATTCAAAAATAATTTGACTTTTTGCAAATATAAGCCTGCTCTCATTAATTCATTTTACAAAAAGAATTGAACCAACTACTCCAACAACTACAATTCTATATCACTCATTTGTTCGTGGGAAAAATTGGTAATAAAAATTGTCATCTTTGTTGTTAAACAAGTTGGTTTTTATTTTCAACATGATTTTTTGCCTGCTAAATCAACTGCAATTTTTTTCTGACTGGTTGCAGATTAGTTGCTGATTTGAATCAAACTTATCGACACAGTTCATCTGAATTTCCAAAATGTTTTTAAGTCCGTCTATATATCAACTAGTTAAAAATTAAAATTTTATGCATTTCTGTCCGGTTGGAAAATTTTAAGTTGGCACTTTCGCAAATAGTTCTGATTCTGAATTAACCAGCTTTTTCAGTAATTAGTTAGGTTCTAGTTTGTACCTGAACTTACCCTGATTTTAATTATTATAAGTGTTTTTAAAATGATATTCTTGTTCATCCAACTCAACTTCAACAAGTCTTTAATGATATAATGGCATAGAGTATTAAATGGCAGACTCTGATATTGCGCCAACAACTTGCTTGCATTTTTTTCTAACAGACCTCTCATTGATAACAACGGCAGCAGTAACAATAATGATCACAACAATAACAGCAGCAATTTCAATGAAACAATCACCAACAATTTATTTAAAAAAAATTTAGATGAGATGATACTCGGTGAGAGCATTAATTTGAGGATTAACAATGTCAGTGGGGGTGATGTTAATGCTGATGCGAATATTCATTTCAAACATCAGACCAAGAAATCTCCAGGGAAAAACCGAGAAAAGAATCGTTGATAAGAGATTTGGTGGTAGGTGATAGTTTGAGTTATAAGAAACTTGGTCCTCTTCTATCTGGATGATGATTACTTCAATGACGGTTTCCTTGCTGATGAGGATGAGTTTTTCATCCCACCATTACTGGTCGACATGAAAAATGTCAACAACAAATATTACAACATCCAATTTTTGCTATCCACTTGGTCATTCTTAAACTCGCTCGTAAACTTAATGAAAAGCACATACTTCAAGTGCCAAGAAAATCAAGAAAGGACCACGACATCTATCTACAGATAGAGTAACCAAAACAACGAAAACTTGACTTATCTTCACAGTACTGAAACAACTTTACTAAAAATTTCTAACTAGTGACAATAGTAATTTTACTCTTCTTCTTGCTCATGACTTTTCTTCTGCTTTTGATACTGTTGATCATACTATTTTCTTATAAGTGCTAGATCATTTTTTTAATGTTACATTTTTTAATATTTCGGTTTTCTTCTGATCTCTGTAATCGTTTTGCTTCTGCTCTTAATAATACCACTTCTAACTTCTCTACTCTTAATTTTGGGGTACTTATCTAAAGATCTATCCTAAGCCCTCTTTCATTTTTGCTTTATACTTCTGAATTACATCGTATTATTGAAACGTTTCTTTTACTAGTCGACTATTGACGATTTTTATATTTATATTATACTTCTTTTACTCCATCTAACCTCAATAGTGTTTTTTGTAATTTATCTCCAAGTCTCCCTTATATTATCGCTTGGTGTATTTTAAACTAATTTCCTCAAAGTTTGAATTTTAATAAATCTAAGCACTTTATCACTATTCCCTCTATTATCTTACCTTCTTGATATTCATC